ATGTACTAATTTCTGTCCGAGCACAGTCTTCTGAACTTTCGTTCTATATTTTACTTATGTTGCCTTTATATACCGTCTTGTTAACGTTCTACATATTTTGTATACAGTGCATTCGGAAAGTATTCAGACCACTTGACTTTTTCCACATTTTGTTACGTTACAGTCTTATTCTAAAAATGATTCAATTAATTGTTTTCTTTATCAATCTACACACAATACCCCATAATAACAAAGTGAAAACAGGTTTTTAGAATTTAAGCAAATTTAGTAAAAATAAATAACATAAGTATTCAGACCCTTTGCTATGAGACTAGAAATTGAGACTCAGGTGCATCCTGTTTCCATTGATCATCCTTGAGATGTTTCTACAACTTGATTTGAGTCCACCTATGGTAAAATCAATTGATTGGACAGGATTTGGAAAGGCACACACCTGTCTATATAAGGTACCACTTTTGTCAGTGCATGTCAGAGCAAAAACCAAGCCATGAGGTTGAAGGAATTGTCCGTAGAGCTCCGAGACAGGATTGTGTCGAGGCACAGATCTGGGGAAGGGTACCAAAACATTTCTGCAGCATTGAAAGTCCCCAAGAACACAATGGCCTCCATCATTCTTAAATGGAAGAAGTTTGTAACCACCAAGACACTTCCTAGAGCTGGCCGCCCGGCCAAACTGAGCAGTCGGGGGAGAAGGGCCTTGGTCAGGGAGGTGACCAAGAACCTGATGGTCACTCTGACAGAGCTCCAGAGTTCCTCTGTGGAGATGGAAGAACCTTTCAGAAGGACAACCATCTCTGCAGCACTCCACCAATCAGGCCTTTATGGTAGGGTGGCCAGACGGAAGCCACTTCTCAGTAAAAGGTACATGACAGCCCGCTTGGAGTTTGCCAAAAGGCACCTAAGACTCTCAGACCATGAGAAACAAGATTCTCTGGTCTGATGAAACCAAGATTGAACTCTTTGGCCAGAATGCCAAGCGTCACATCTGGAGGAAACTTGGCACCATCCCTAAGGTGAAGCATGATGGTGGCAGCATCATGCTGTGGGGATGTTTTTCAGCGGCAGGGACTGGGAGACTAGTCAGGATCGAGGGAAAGATGAACGGATCAAAGTACAGAGAGATACTTGATGAAAACCTGCTCCAGAGCGGACCTCAGACTGGGGCGAAGGTTCACCTTCCAAAAGGACAACGACCCTAAGCACACAGCCAAGACAACGCAGGAGTGGCTTCGGGACAAGTCTCTGAATGTCCTCGAACATCTCTGGAGAGACCTGAAAATAGCTGTGCAGCAACGCTCCCCATCATACCTTACAGAGCTTGAGAGGATCTGCAGAGAAGAATGGGAGAAACTCCCCAAATACAGGTGCGCCAAGCTTGTAGCGTCATACCCAAGAAAGTGCTTCAACAAAGTACTGAGTAAAGGGTCTGAATACTTATGTAAACGTGATATTTCTGTTTTATTTCATTTGATAAATTAGCAAAATTTCTTCAATCGTGTTTTGATTTGTCATTATGGGGTATGGTGTGCAGATTGATGAGATTATTTTAAAAAAAGAATAAGGCTGTAGCGTAACAAAATATGGAAAAAGTCAAGGGGTCTGAATACTTTCCGAATGCACTGTAGATGTTTTTTGTTCCCATTGTAGCGACGTGTGATTTTAATGTCATATGTTGAACAATGTTGAACATTCTTGTACTGTCTGTCTATAATGCTGAACTGTTGTGGACTACTGAGTTCCTCCAAGCTCTCTCTCTCTCTCTCTCTCCACGACAAAGGGTCATAAACGTTGCCCTTCACACCTAGGTGTGATGCACTACATGATCAAAAGTATGTGGACACCTGCATGTCGGACATCTTATTCCCAAATCATGGGCATTAATATGGAGTTGGTCCCCCCTTTGCTGCTATTACAGCCACCACTCTTCTGGGAAGGCTTTCCACTAGATGTTGGAACATTGCTGCAGGGACTTGCTTCCATTCAGCCACAAGAACACTAGTGAGGTTGGGCACTGATGTTGGGCGATTAGGCATTTTTTTATATACCTACAGGGGTCCTACAATTCTAAAACAAATGGCTAAATGATACATTTTATACGTTAGCTTAGTAGATATTGCGATCTAAGGCTTACAGCACTGGTGCGTCAATCTAAGTAACATAATATACAAATCTGTCAGTTTAAGCTAGAGATATCTGCACAGGCTGCATCTCAATCTGCCTATGTCACCCATCCGCCTATGTTGACTTTCTGTTTTGCCATTTATGAATGTGTTATTTAATGCGTTCCTATGGGCTATAGTAGTAAAGGCCAAATTCAATATTTTACCGAATATATTTATTTATTTTATAACTAAAGGGGTCCTAAAATTCAAAATCTAAAAAGTTAAATTATCCATGTATGACCTTCTGAAAACAATTCCATATGTCAGCTTAGAACATGCTCTGTAAACTCTCACGCAATCTACATTTCTTTCAAATTTGATTCACCATTTTCTTTTTCATTACAGATATGAAATCAGATGAAACACCCCACCAGAGTCAATCAACAACACAGATTCAGTTCCAGAATTGTGTAAAATAAAATATTTACAGAATAATATATAATGCCAAGTTTTTATTTTATGTTACATTTAAATACATTGAACATATTTTTTTTTTTTTTCAGGACATATGAGAAATATTTCAAATTGGACATATTAATACATTTCAAATACCCATGGGGCGGCGCACAATTGGCCCAGCATCATCCAGGGTAGGGGAGGGAATGGTCGGCAGGGATGTAGCTCAGTTGGTAGAGCATGGCATTTGCAACGCCAGGGTTGTGGGTTCGATTCCCACGGGGGGCCAGTATGAAAAATTAAAAATGAAAAAATGTATGCACTCACTAACTGTAAGTCGCTCTGGATAAGAGCGTCTGCTAAATGACGTAAATGTAAATACATTTTCAGATGCATTTTAAAATACATATTAAAAGAACATTGACAGCAGTTTTTTGGATTGTGATAAGGCTAGAAAGAATCACTAAGCTATTTCAGGCATTTCTAAGCCGTGTCCTTCATAAACCATGAGGACATTTTATATGTTGATCATATCAGTGTTAATAACAGCCAGCACATTTCCCACCGTTTTCCTACCTTTGCATGACCTTACGGCTGTTTACACAGGCACCCTAAGAAACCAATTCAGATTTTTTTCAATATCCAATAATTTTTTCGGACTTCTCATTGTTTTACACAGCCACCCCATTATGATCTTTTTTTCAGTAATTGGTATTTTGACCGATTAGATCAGCTCTGAAAAATAAGGTTGGTTTGATTCAGGACGGTCACACTGTGAAGTGAAATGGTTTTAGCTATAGCTTGATTAGAAATATATGTCTATACTAAAGAGTAGTTCCATTGTTTTTGGGACGACTCGTTTTACAATGTAAGAGTAAATTACTTAGGGTATGACATTTATTTTGTATGATCTTCAAAACTAAATATCAATACTGTATTATCCTTTTTGTATATCAATAAAAACATGTTTTACCTAAACCAAGTTTGACACCTTCACTGCTTACATAATGTTCTTCATCAACACAGGTCTGATGTGATTGGTCAAAAGACCAATTAGTGGAAAATAAATCAGAATTGGGTTGCCTGTGTAAACACATCTTATGTGACCATTTTAGATTTGCGCATTCACGCTGATGTAGCCTCTTATGTAGCACACAGATGCAATGCTCATTTCCTGTCACTGTTCCTTTAAATGTTTTGGTGGTTGCGGTAACAGCAGGTCATGTTCATTAAAACCACTTCAGATTGTCCAGACTGAGGTCGCATATGAAACATCGGAATTGTATCAGGATTGAGATCCACATATGGATGTGATATAAATCAGAACTCAAAAGATCAGATTCCATGTGGTTTTTTTTGTTCTGTTTGCACATTATGGAAACGATCAGATAGGTATCAGATATGCCAAATAATTGGCATAAGATCTGAATTGTAAACACAGCCTATGTGTATATTTTATGACTACAAATAAAGCCTAGATACCAAGCACACTCCTTTCGCTCTCATTACTTCTAAATGAATTAGCTTTCTAGAGATAATTTAATAAAGAAAGTAGGAGAATGGAAGGTGAGGATTGGCTAATTAAAATAATTAGAGAGAAAGGGTGGTGCTTGTGTTTCAAAATAAACAATGAGTACTGCAAAAATATATAATAAAGGAGCAAACCAATGAAAAATACTACTTCATCAAATTAAAAGTATTTTGAAATGCAAGGAGATTCCTTGTTTTCTCAATATGTTTAATAAATGCAAATGAAAGTCATGTTAATTAGTACATGTTGATGAAGAACATTTGTGTTGATGAAGAACATTATGTAAGCAGTGAAGGTGTCACACTTGGCTTAGGTAAAACATATTCATTGATATACAAAAAGGATAATACAGTATTGATATTTAGTTTTGAAGATCATACAAAAGAAAAGTCATACCCTAAGGAATTCACTCTTACATTGTAAAACGAGTCATTCCAAAAACAAAAATCAAGCTATAGCTAAAACCATTTCACTTCACAGTGCGACCATCCTGAATCAAACCAACCTTCTTTGAAATACACCTCAAAGATCACACAACCTTTATATCAATAACAGACCGCAAAACCATTTGTAAAATCAGACAGAAAAACACGTGTATAAAAACATGAGAAAAATAATAACATTTGGCATACATCTTTATCACAAAGAAGTGGTGATATTGAAATGGTATATAACCAACTGGAAATTGTAATGGTATAATATTTCTCAATAGCCCATATTCAACTTAAGCTTTTAAAGTTAGCTGGATAACCTGTTGATACTGCTTCGTTATATACCCCTCCGGTAGGTTATCGAGAACACATTCTCTTTTACAATCAACACCAGGGGCTAGCATCCCCTCTGCAGTTAACGCATGATTCTGCCCTCTCTGAGATCAATTGTGCTACAAGTCCCATGATGCTCTCTGCTCAGAGAGCAGTGTTGTCCAAAGCAGTGCTGTCCAGAGCAGTGCTGTCCACTGTAGTGATACCAGCATCCCTTGCCATGGAATAGAAGTGACCCTGTTTGTTGAAGAGAGTGCTGGGAGAGTCAAACTCTACGATCTTTCCAGCATCCAGCACCATCACCCTGAAAGTGTGAGAGAGAAAGGGATGGAGAAAGACGGAGTGGGAGAAGAGGGAGGAAAGGATGAGTGAGAGTCAACTATTTCAGAGTTTCAGTTGCTATGCAACAAGTTCTGTGGGAAAACTCTTGTCGTAAAGTTTGTGTGCCAGTCTGTGCGTCTAAGTACACAGTAAATCAAGGATAGTTGAAATCACAGTGTTAAAAAATGAGGGTTAAATTGACTCTACTGGGAGTTATCTTAGCCCTCAAGAGAGTGATACGCTCCCTGGAGTTAGTGTTGATAACTGGAGTTGATTGGGACGGAGTCCTTTTAACACAATTTAGTGTCATTTTAACTCCAGAAATATCAACACCATGACATTTTACATTTTAGTCATTTAGCAGACGCTCTTATCCAGAGCGACTTACATTATTTTATTTTTTTTATATACTGGCCCCCCGTGGGAATCGAACCCACAACCCTGGCGTTGCAAACACCATGCTCTACATCCCTGCTGGCCATTCCCTCCCCTACCCTGGACGACGCTGGGCCAATTGTGCGCCGCCCCATGGGTCTCCCAGTCGTGGCCGGCTACGACAGAGCCTGGATTCGAACCAGGATCTCTAGTGGCAGAGCTAGCACTGCGATGCAGTGCCTTAGACCACTGCGCCACTCGGGAGACCGGAGTAGTTTTAACACAAAATGGGGGTGGGACCATATAAACCCCAACATAGTGTTACATTTGACTCCATAGGAGTGACTTTACTGTGTATGTGCATGTGTGTTACCTGCTACTGTCCAGGATGCTGTGGAGTCTGTGTGCGATGGTGAGTACAGTGCAATGGGAGAACTCTCGTCGTATGGTTTTCTGGATCAGGTTGTCTGTCTCTAGGTCCACAGCAGCTGTAGCCTCATCCAGAATCAGAATACGAGACTTCCTCAGCAGGGCACGGGCCAGACACAACAACTGTCTCTGACCAATACTGTAATGGAAACATGTGCAACCTGTCAAAATACACTACATGGTCATCTCATTCCATAATCATGGGCAATAATGCATTCGGGCAGGTAGCGTTCACCTGGCATCCACCAAACCCAGATTTGTCCGTCTGACTGCCAGATGGTGAAACGTGATTCATCATTCCAGAGAACGCGTTTCCTATTCTCCAGAGTCCAATGGCGGCAAGCTTTACACCACTCCAGCTGACGCTTGGCATTGCGCATGTTGATCTTAGGCTTGTGTGCGGCTACTCGGCCATGAAAACCCATTTCATGAAGCTCCCGACGAACAGTTCTTGTGCTGACGTTGCTTCCAGATGCAGTTTAGAACTCGGTAGTGAGTGTTGCAACCGAGGACAGACGATTTTTAGGCGTTACGCGCTTCAGCACTCAGTGGTCCCGTTCTGTGAGCTTGTGTGGCCTACCACTTCAAATCAAATCAAATTGTATTTGTCACATACACGTGTTTAGCAGATGTTATAGCGGGTGTAGTGAAATGCTTGTGCTTCTAGCTCCGACAGTAAGTAATATCTAACAAGTAATATCTAACAATTTCACAACATATACCCAATATACACAAAACTAGTAAGGAATGGGATTTAAGAACATATACATATATGGACAAGCAATGACAGAGCGGCATGGACTAAGATACAGTAGAATATTATAGAATATAATGCAGCATATACATATGAGATGAGTAGTGCAAGATATGTAAACATTATTAAAGTGACTAGTGTTCCATTTCTTAAAGTGGCCAGTGATTTCAATAGGCAGCAGCAGCCTCTAATGTGCTAGTGATGGCTATTTAACAGTCTGATGGCCTTGAGATAGAAGCTGTTTTTCATTCTCTCTGTCCCAGCTTTGATGCACCTGTACTGACCTCACCTTCTGGATGATAGCGGGGTGAACAGGCAGTGGCTCGGGTGGTTGATGTCCTAGATTATCTTTTTGGCCTTCCTGTGACATCGGGTGCTGTATGTGACTTGGAGGGCGGGTAGTTTGCCCCCGGTAATGCGTTCGGTAGACCGCACCACCCTATGGAGAGCCCTGCGGTTGCGGGCGGTGCAGTTGCCGTACCAGACGGTGATACAGCCCGACAGGATGCTCTCAATTGTGCATCTGTAAAAGTTTGTGAGGGTTTTAGGTGCTAAGCCGAATTTCTTCAGCCTCCTGAGGTTGAAGAGGCTCTGTTGCGCCTTCTTCACCACACTGTCTGCGTGGGTGGACCATTTCAGTTTGTCGGTGTTGTGTACGCCAAGGAACTTGAAGCTTTCCACCTTCTCCACTGCGGTCCCGTCGATGTGGATAGAGGGGTGCACCCTCTACTTCGCAGCTGAGCAGTTATTGCTCCTAGACATTTCCACTTCACAATAACAGCACTTGCAGTTGACCTAGCAGGCCAGAAATCTGACAAACTGACTTGTTGGAAAGGTGGCATCCTATGACAGTGCAAAAGTTCTCTTCAGTACGGGCCATTCTACTGCCAATGTTTTCCTATGGAGATTGCATGGCTGTGTGCTCGATTTTATACACCTGTCAACAACGGTGTGGCTGAAATCGCTGAATCCACTAATTTGAAGGGGTGTCCACATACTTTTGTCCATGTCGTGTAGCTTCCAGAATGATCAGATTTGCGTAAAGTTTTGTCATAATTGCCTAGGCTAGGCTATATAATTCACCACCTGAGGAAGTGGGAACTCAAAACACATAAGCTAGATTGTTAACTCTAAATATGCTAGATAGCCATGTTATTGATAGAGCTAACATTATATTTAATGTCCTACAAAAACTTTCCATCAGTATGCCTAGGCTACTTCATGTATTCACTAGGGGTGTGCCGATCTTGTCATACTCGTATTCGTAATCGTATCTGTTTTATCACACTTGATCCTCTAATCGGATTTACTCATGATCGAAGTGGACTTTAAATGTCGGTAAAGCCTATACATCAAGTGTGCATTACTGTGCTATCACTCAGAGTGCATTGTTATCTTCCTTCACTCATTCACACACATTGTTAAACGACCCTAACAGATGACAATGCACATGTTTTACTTACTTAGTCCTATTCAGTTATCAACAATATCCTAATGCATGGCTGGTTACTACTGCCTGCATTCATTCCACACAGATTTAGATGAAGGTAGGCTAATTCATTTGACCCATATATTGTTTCGCTTTCGAGAGGAGCAACACTTTTCTCTCCCGAAACACTTATGCCACATTTGTCATTTTATTTTCTAATGATCTGCCACACGGCAAACATGCCTGGGCGAGAAGAAATAGCAAGCAAGCATGGGCTTGGATCACGACATAATGAGAAACGTCAGTAATGGAATAATTATACGAACAGACAAAGTAGGCCTACTAAAGTAGACAACCGCCAAGTAGACAACCAGTAAACAACCATATGCAAAGTCGACAGGAAATAACTTGATTGAACAACAATGACTAGCTATGGATTCTAAGTCATACACAATCTTTGGAGAAGGGTAGAGGTGTGCTTGAGACGAGTGACTGTGAGTGAGTGAAACAGCAGCGCGTGTGTCTGTCTGGGGAATTGAGAGCAGAGCGGCTTGTTCTAATCCAATCGTTGCAGCAGGCTCAACCGATACCCCGCCCGTTTTCTTTATAGACAGAAGAACTAGCCAATAGTTGTTTACAGCACACAGCACTTCACACTGTTTGAGTGAAAGAGAGATGCATGCTGGCAGCTGAAAATAACTTTTTCCCGATGACGGATAATTACAAAAAATACTTGTGTCATAATTCTCCATATCCGTTACGATACTCGTTTTGTCGGAGTACTCGTCACACATAGTATTCACAGCGAATGCTGCACTCTGCTCAGCGTCGCATCATCTCAAAACCACATGACATACTCCGGTTGTAAAGTGGTGCCATTTGCTCAAAATTGAGAGTTGAAAATATGTTTTATACTCAGAGAAAGCTGAATCTCATCTTTAACAATAACAACAGTAATTACTTTAAAAACGGTGTTATTCCCACAATTGCATTTTGAAATGTTGTGCAACAGTCATATGCGTGCCTTTATCAGAATGCATCTCTCCCACTGGCGTACCACACACTCCCGCATTCCCCGCAAGGTGGGGAGGCCAACGGACTCTGGGGGCCCCCAACCCAGGTAGGCCCCTCCACAGAGAGCATATGAACAGGTCATAAGCCTTGGCAAAAATGTTTAGAATAGCAGGAAATTAGCTTTGGAAATGCAAAATTCTCTCAGCCTCATTGCAAAATGTGTAGAATAGCATGAAATAAGCTATGAAACTGAAACATGTTCTCTTTGCCCCATGGCAATATCTGTAGAATTGCAGGAAATGTGCTTTAAAAATTCTACATTCTCTCAGCTTCATGACAAAATGTGTAAAATAGCATGAGATTAGTCATAAAACTGCAATTTTTTCTATTTGCCCCATGGAATTGTAGGAAGTTAGCTTGAGGGGGAGCCTTGCTCAGACCTTGCGGGGGGGGGGGGGCCCGCGAAACTGCGGTACACCACTGATCTCCCCCTCCATATGCTATCATCTGAATGATAATACGATCCCTGTGCGGATGTCTGTTTGAGCAGAGTTGAGTAATGCCTAAAGGCTGCTTTATAGTCTGTCTAACGACATGTCTGTAGACCATTAGAATGCAACAAGTGTCGTTGGCCAAAATAACATTACATTTTTACTCAGGCCGACTGTCTGTAGATCGTCAACGCGGTTGTCGTTTTCCTTGTCGCAGAGACATTAATATTTTTCTACTTTTACCCTGTTGTTTTGATCGTTGTCATGGTAACCTGACTGTGACAGCGTCAATACGTTTTTCATTTCTCCGACAGAATGCCCTGCTTTTATTTCCTCACATTCACGACCGTACGTTTTTTATTTTCTTTCTTTTTCTAGGGGGTAGATCAGCTTTAATATTGTAGATAGATTGTAACTTCCATCAATGTAATTGTCTGCATCACTTCCAATCCCCCATATTTTTTTTTTCTCGCATATATTACACACATACTTAAACATATATATATATATATACACATACATACATATACAATGAGGGAAAAAAGTATTTGATCCCCTGCTGATTTTATAAGTTTGCCCACTGACAAAGACATGATCAGTCTATAATTTTAATGGTAGGTTTATTTGAACAGTGAGAGAGAGAATAACAACAAAAAAATCCAGAAAAACGCATGTCAAAAATTTTATAAATTGATTTGCATTTTAATGAGGGAAATAAGTATTTGACCACTCTGCAAAACATGACGTAGTACTTGGTGGCAAAACCCTTGTTGGCAATCACAGAGGTTTTCACACATCTCAGGAGGGATCTTCTCCAAGTCATTAAGGTTTCGAGGCTGACGTTTGGCAACTCAAACCTTCAGCTCCCTCCACAGATTTTCTATGGGATTAAGGTCTGGAGACTGGCTAGGCCACTCCAGGACATTAATATGCTTCTTCTTGAGCCACTCCTTTGTTGCCTTGGCCGTGTGTTTTGGGTCATTGTCATGCTGGAATACCCATCCACAACCCATTTTCAATGCTCTGGCTGAGGGAGGGAGGTTCTCACCCAAGATTTGACGGTACATGGCCCCGTCCATCGTCCCTTTGATGCGGTGAAGTTGTCCTGTCCCCTTAGCAGAAAAAACCCCCCAAAGCATAATGTTTCCACCTCCATGTTTGACGGTGGGGATGGTGATCTTGGGGTCATAGGCAGCATTCCTCCTCCTCCAAACACGGCGAGTTGAGTTGATGCCAAAGACCTTGATTTTGGTCTCATCTGACCACAACACTTTCACCCAGTTCTCCTCTGAATCATTCAGATGTTCATTGGCAAACTTCAGACGGCCCTGTATATGTGCTTTCTTGAGCAGGGGGACCTTGCGGGCGCTGCAGGATTTCAGTCCTTCACGGCGTAGTGTGTTACCAATTTTTTTCTTGGTGACTATGGTCCCAGCTGCCTTGAGATCATTGACAAGATCCTCCCGTCTAATTCTGGGCTGATTCCTCACCGTTCTCATGATCATTGCAACTCCACGAGGTGAGATCTTGCATGGAGCCCCAGGCCGAGGGAGATTGACAGTTCTTTTGTGTTTCTTCCATTTGCGAATAATCGCACCAACTGTTGTCACCTTCTCACCAAGCTGCTTGGCGATGGTCTTGTAGCCCATTCCAGCCTTGTGTAGGTCTACAATCTTGTCCCTGACATCCTTGGAAAGCTCTTTGGTCTTGGCCATGGTGGAGAGTTTGGAATCTGATTGATTGATTGCTTCTGTGGACAGATGTCTTTTATACAGGTAACAAACTGAGATTAGGAGCACTCCCTTTAAGAGTGTGCTCCTAATCTCAGCTCATTACCTGTATAAAAGACACCTGGGAGCCAGAAATCTTTCTGATTGAGAGGGGGTCAAATACTTATTTCCCTCATTAAAATGCAAATCAATTTATAACATTTCTGGATTTTTTTGTTCAAATAAACCTACCATTAAAATTAGACTGATCATTTCTTTGTCAGTGGGCAAACGTACAAAATCAGCAGGGGATCAAATACTTTTTTCCCTCACTGTATATACATACATACATACATACATACATACATACATACATACATACATATCCTTTAAAAATATATATATTTCCCTTTATTACTTTCCAACCCCACCATCCCCTCCCTAATTGGAGTAAACTAGTGAACAACAATGCTTAGGCCTCTACTTCATGCTTATACATACTATATACTTTTATGGACACAGTCAATAATTATATTTTGTTTGTTTTTACTCCTGAACTTCCTCCGATCATTTTCATGATGTCCATCTGGTATGCTTCTATATGCCATATCTTTCTAACTGTGCTCTTTCACAAAAGCTCACAATATATAACCTATATAATTATTATGGACACAGCATGTCTTACACTAGTTATCTTGTTGTTATTAGTTGTTGTTATTAGTCCCATCCTTCAGCTCCATTCAACACCTTTCAACTCCATTCAACACCTCCCATCTATCTCTTAACACCATCCATATTGGATTTCTATTTGCCATACATTTTTAAACTGTACTGTGATGTTTTACAAAAGTTCTGAACCTTTCTATTCTCATTGTTTCTACAGTTTGTGAATTGAAAATAAACATCTTTGCTAAAAGTATTATTATATTATTGATCGATTGACTATGACTTTTCAGATCACCCAGTAGTGCTATCTACAGGGTCAGCTCCATGCAAATATTGCAATCCTTCAGCCATTCCTGGACCAGTGTCCAGAAACAAGCTACAAATGGACAGTACCAAAACAAATGATCTAATGATTCTGTCTCTTCACAGCCAAATCTGCAGAGCTGGGAAGATTGTATCCCCCGTACAAATAACATTCTATTGGTAGCAAGAATTTTATATAATCATTTAAATTGAAAAATTCTAAGTTTTGAATCTGGCATCGTTTTGCGTATCAGTTCATAAACACTATGCCATGGAATCGGTACGTCAAAAATCTCTTCCCAACTATTTTGCAATCTATATGGGACGGCTGTCAATCTTTTGGTCCTTAAATGAAACTGGTAAACTTTTTTATTTATCACAATTTTCTTTAACCAATTATGCTCTTTAATGCAAGGCCGACAGACAAGTTCCTTACTTTCTCCTCCTTCCACTTTCTTCTTCCATTTTTGCGGTAATGCTTCAATTATTTGGTTGTAATTTTGGGTAGAGCAGACATTTCCATATGTTTTTGTTAGCTGCATGTGCGACATAACTCCACCATTCCTACCGATAATATCATTTACGAAGATTATACCTTTTTTAAACATTTTCTCAAAAAAAGAAAGTTTTTTTATCAATTAGTATATTTGAGTTTAACCACAATATTTGTTGCAATATTTGTTCTGTCATTTCTGGAGGATTAAATTGAAATTGCAACCAACTTTCTATGGCTTGTTTTAGAAATAGTGATATTTGGGAGATTATTTCCTTTTCAAATACCTGAAAGTGAGGGGTTGTAATCTGAATAAAGGGAAAAAGTCCCTTCTTGAACATTGGGTGAGACAATCTTACTAGTTTGCTAGAGAACCAGTTCGGATTTAAGTATAATTTTTGTATGACTGAAGCTTTTAGTGATAGGTCTAATGCTTTAATATTTAATCATTTCTGTCCTCCTAATTCATATTCATTATTTAAATAGGCCCGTTTAATTTTGTCTGGCTTGCCGTTCCAAATAAAATTGAATATTTTTTTCTCATATAATTTAAAGACCATAAACAAATAGGTAGGTAAGACCATAAACAAATAGGTAAACTGGGATAATACTAAAGAGTTAATCAGGGTGATTTTTCCACAAATTGACAGGTATTTACCTTTCCGTGGTAGCAAGATCTTATCTATTTTTGCTAACTTTCTATTAATTTTTTTGGAGTGAGATCATTTTTTATCATTTGGGATATGTATTCTGAGTATATCCACATCACCATAAGACCATTTTATTGGTAAACTACATGGTAATGTAAAAAATATATTTTTTATTGATCCAATACGTAATATAGTACATTTATCATAATTTGGTTGTAATCCAGAGAGGTTAGAAAATGTATATAGATCCTCTATGAGGCTGTGGAGGGATTCTAGTTGTGGATAAAAAAGAACATGAATCATCAGCATAAAATGACATCTTTGTTTTTAAGCCCTGGATTTCTAATCCCTTGATATTATTGTTGGATCTGATTTTAATAGCTAACATCTCAATGGCAATAATAAATAGATATGCCGATAGTGGACAACCTTGTTTCACTCCTCTTGACAGTTTAAATCTTTCTGAGAAATAGCCATTATTTACTATTTTACACCTAGGGTCACGACCGTAAGTTAGCTATTTTTAGGTTGCCATTAATAATTATCTCGTAATGTGTAAATGTTGCAATTATAATGAATAAAGGTTGCCTACAGTCAAAAATCTGGTCATCATTTGGGCTGGCTAGCCAGCTAACAAGCTAGCAACAAACCAAAACATATATATATATTTTGCCTGGCTTGCTAGATTGACATATTCTAAATACATTTTTAAATGGATGGGTTTATTGGTGTTAAAATAGAGCAGGTATTGCCTTGTTTGTTGATCTTTATATAACGGGTGGGTCTAATCCTGAATGCTGATTGGTTAAAACCACATTCCAGCCGGTGTCTATTCCACAAGTTACCACCGGCTAAATCTATGACATTAAAATGCCTATTTACTCTGTTCCATCTGACTGCACAATCCACTGTCTCATCAGCCCAGCCAGGCACTTTATAAGCTTGATCTCCACTATTAAAAGCATCTAGTCCCCTGTAGCTCAGTTGGTAGAGCATGGTGCTTGCAACGCCAGGGTTGTGGGTTTGTTTCCCACAGGGGGCCAGTATGAAAATGTATGCACTCACTAACTGTAAGTCGCTCTGGATAAGAGCGTCTACTAAAATGTAGATACTATCTCACATTTCTTTTAGACTAACATTTAGTTTTCAATCGCAGAGATTTGTATAACCCTTTCTGTCTGTCTCGCCGACATTTGCAACCTTGTTTCAATATTCAAATTTGATCTCCAGCTCTCCCATAGTAATGAACATGTCGGGAGTCGGGACGAGACAGACAGGCAGGCAGGCAGGCAGGCAGCGTTTCTCAGCCAGTCGAAATCATGAATCAGCTGGCATCATTTTTATGGATATATACACAGAAATGTAAATCGAAAAAAGCTAGTTTGCAGTCTTTCCAGCTTCAGTTTGAAGTGATTGTGTTAGCTGTGTTGTTGGCTAGCTCCTCTAAACAACAGTGTCCTGACGAGAGAGCACATTTTCAATGCCAGGAAAAATCGTGCCTCATTAGCTTATTGTTATGGATGTCTCCAAATAAATGTCACTAGAAAACAGCTTAAACAAATGCAAATGCAGCTACTTTGCTGTTATTCTGCCTGCACTTTTTGACGTGACTGTAAGTTAGCCGTAGATGGCTAGCTAGCAAGCAAGGGATAAGAACGTTGCCAGCCAGTATGGCAATGGAACAAAAAGACTGAACGACTGGGTCGCGTCTCTAACAACCGAACCAATAGAACGAACGACCAGCCGGCTTGGGTAGCAACCCTAGATTTGTGTCGGGACTATATCTTGTGGAAGGATGAAATAGTATGAATAGTTTAATCAAAATAACGTTTTTAATGAAAATATGTCAATCATTATTTGAATATTACATATTATTTGAGTAACCCATTGTATAAAAGTGATAATGCCCTCGAAACCGGTGTTTGGAGGATATATTGGCACTAACAACACGGGCTTAACACCCGTGCAGATATATCCTCCAAACACCGGCTTCTCAGGTATTATCACTTAAATAATACTAGCTAGCTATGCATTTCCAACCTACCTGGCTGCCTATCCAACCAACTAGCAATGGGCAGCTAGCTAGCTAGATATTTCTAGTACAGAGGAGACATTCTTCAAATCGAAGGTGACAGCATTTCAATTTCAACGATGTCCTTGTATCTTGTGTGTGCGTGTGTGCATTCATGTGAGTGTAACCCACCTGAGGTTCTCTCCCCCCTCTGACACCTCGTGCGTCAGTCCTTCCTGTAACCCCCCCACGTACTCCTTCAGATGGGACAGCTCTAGGACGCGCCAGATCTCCTCATCACTGAAGGTCTCAAACGGGTCCAGGTTCATACGCAGCGTCCCTGAGAACAGCACTGGGTCCTACACACCCGCACACACAGAGACACACCGAATGGAGAAACAAATGTCATCATGTAAAAATATTATAAAGTTTATGCCATTTATAAGGGTGTGGGTGCGTGCGTGTGTAAGTGTGCATACATGCATTTCTGTGTGTGCATTACCTGTGGTATAATAGTGAGTCTGCTCCTGAGGTCGTGTAGGCCCAGAGTAGCGATGTCTGTCCCGTCGATCAAGATCCTTCCCTCTGCTGCCTCGATGATTCTAAACAGGCAGTTGGTCAGACTGGACTTCCCAGCGCCTGTTCGACCCACTATACCGATCTGCACAAGATGTGAGGATGTTCAGTAAGACTTTGAGTAATGCTTAATTTTGGTCGCAGATGGGTCGTGACCATAGAGATGTACTAAAGAACAAGTATTGAGCCAAGGTTGGTGGTTTACTGCCACCTGCAGTTATGTTTGCTTAAAAATGGTGCAAGTCCTTAATGGCGCTGCCGATGCTAAAACAGGCTTTGGACCAAGTGTGCCCTCTGTCCAACTCTGTAGCAGTGACTGATCGTGTCCCTGTGTGGGGTGGCAGGTAGCCTAGCAGTTAAGAGCGTTGGGCCAGTAACCGAAAGTTCGCTGGTTCGAATCGCCGAGCCATGCAAGGTGGAAAGATTTGCCGTTCTGCGCTTGAGCAAGACAGTTACCCAACAACAGCTATTCCCCGGGCGCCGATGCCAAGTGGCATATTCCTTTGCTATGGCCTGCATAACCTATTTCAATAAATATGTTATAAACTAAAAACAGAATGCACAAGAACAATGTAGACAGAGCTGAGTTTCACCAAAACAACGCAAAATGTCCAGTCAGAAAATATGTTTTTGTTTTCTCTCTCCAATGATCTGGGCCTATTTTTATAGCGGACACTCCGATGTCTAATTGTTATAAATGCCTATTTATTTATAAATTTTTCTCCATTTGATATGAATATGACTTGGCCTATTAAGCTACTCTATTAGTTTTATGCATGCTGAATTTCTCCCGCCGCACTTTCATGATTAAACAATTAATTAATCTAACAGAGTGCTAAGCTATCTCAGAAAGTTTGAAGATGTTTTTGAATCATCTAAAAACATAGTAGGCATAAGGTAATAATGATAGAGAGAACAAACAATAGGAAAATAGAAAAATAGAATTAGGAGTTTGAACAAACCTTACAATTGAGCAAAACTTAGGCTATTATAAGAAAGAAATGATCATGCATGCGAGGACTGAAATAAATCCCTCCTTGTCGTTGTGACCCAAACCGCCAAATACCTAGGCGAATTCTTATTGAAATATCATAAAAGCATTAAGAAAAGTTAGTTATGAAGAACATTTCCCAAATATTAGAATTAAGTGTTTAATGTCCTATTGCAGCTTTCAAAAGTGAATAATTATGAAAAAGTCTATGGCTTCTCAATCACAGCTTTAATTTGAATGACACATATTTCAGGCCACAATAAGTGAAATTGAGCAAACAATACCAAGATGGAAAATATTATTATTCATAGTAGCCTAATAAGAAAGGAGGATGAGGCAAACATGCAAATCATTTAATAATTATCCAGTTCTGAGGACAGCAGAGTTGCATGCTCTGCAGCCCATTATTATTTACCACCCATACAGCCCATTATCAGCCTCAAAATGTCATCTTGTGACGTTTTTTGCAAAACGCTATGCATCAACCAATTGGTGCTTATGTCAACTGGCCATGCTCCCAGCAGGCTTTGCTGTGCCAATGGGAAGAGATGAGTGTCAACTAACTGAAGCTTATGTCAATACATTGCATTTAATGAGAAAATAAAAGTGTCACATGGTTGAACCTTATGTCAATACATTGCATTCAATGGGAAATGATGAGTGTCAACCAATTGATGCTTATGTCAATACATTTCAGTCATTGGGAAAAGCGGAGTGTAAACCAATTGAAGCTTTTGTCAATACATTTGTAGTCAATGGGAAAAGATTAGTATCACAGGGTAAAAGCTTATGTCAATACACTGCACTCAATGGGAAAAGATGAGTGTCAACCAATTCATGCTTATGTCAATACAGAGCTAGGGTTTCGCCACGGGGTGACTGGGTGGGTGGAGCAGAAAACATTTGAGGGGGGCCCCCATATTATTCAGAATTGTACAGATAGGGCTAGTAACTTCAAAAGCAGCTGGTTTCATAAATGCATTAATGCATTAATGTCTGAATGGCTGTCAATCATAATTAAGTAGGCTATACCTGTACCCGGATTATCGAGCACACAGATTGACAAGGCAAAGTGCAACGAGCAGACAAGTCAGAACCATGGAGAAATAATTAGGCCTAGGCTACAGCTTCTTCTTTAGCATAGTCGGACAGTAAACAAAATAACCTAGTCATGCAAGATCAGGTTGTCATGACTGTCCACGGGAGTCCAAATAGGTCAGATCAGGTTTGCAATGAATAACTTCAATCAGACCCCCTTTCAGTATTGGTATATTGGCCATATACCACACCCCTTCGGGCATTATTGCTTAAGTATATTCTGGACTCAAGTTGAACCTATTTCGCTGTGCTGTGTTGACCCTGAATAAATGTTGTGACAGTAGTACGGTGCTCTCTCTCTTGCTATTGTTTTCCTAGATAAAGCATGCACATACAGCACAGTGTATATAATAAGTATTCACCCCCTTGGACTTTCAGTGTTCTACAAAGTGGGAATAAAATTGATTTAAATATGATTTTTTTTGTCACTTATATACAAAAAAAGCTTTGTAATGTCAAAAGGGGGAAAACAATATATATATATATATATATATATATTTTCATTAAGAAAAAGTACAACACGAATATACTGTATCTTGATTCGATATGTATTCACCCCCCTAAGTCAATACATCATGTTAGAAACACCTTTGGCATCTATTACAGCTTTGAGTCTTTTTGGGCACAGTCTCTAAGCTTTGCACACCTGCATTGTGCAATATTTGCAGATTATTCTTGGCAAAATTCTTTAAGCTTTGTCAAGTTGTTGGGGATCATTGCTAAACAGCAAATGTTTTTAATGTGCTGTGTTGGATTTGCCCCAAACATAACGCTTTGCATTTAGACCAAACAGTTGATTCCGTTGATGTGTTCTATTTCAGTATTACTTTGGTGCCTTGCTGCAAACAGGATGCATGTTTTTGAATCTCCTTCTTCTGTAGGCTTCCATCTTTTCACTCTGTAATTTAGGTCCTTATTGTGGAGTAACTACAATAACTACAGTTTTTTTCCCCATCACAGCCATTGAACTCTGTAGCTTTTACAAACTATCACACTCGGCGGGTTGACAGAAACCAGATGCATCCAGTTTTCAGGAGAAATGGATCCCTGAACAGTTTCCTTCCTGTCCTGTAGCTCAGTTAGGAAGGACGACTGTATCTTTGTTGTGTTTCGGTGGTTTGAGCCGCAGCCTAATTATTAACTTGACCATGCTTAAAGGGATATTCAGTGTCTGATTTGTTATTTTTACCCATCTACCAATTGCTGCCCTTCTTTATGAGGCATTGGAAAGCTGCCTGGTCTTTGTAGTTTAATTTGTGCTTGAAATTCACTAATCGAACGAGGGACCTTACAGATGTTGTAAGTATAGGGTACAGAGGAAGGAATAGGCATAAAAAAAACGTTAACCCCTATTATGTCATACAGAGTGAGACCATTTAATTTATTTTGTGATTGTTGTAAGCCAATTTTTACTCCTGAACTAATTTAGGCTTGCCATAACAAAGGGGGTGAATAATATATTTTAGTTATTTATTTTGTATTAATATGAAAACATTTATAAAATGTTATTTTCACTTTGATAGAGTATTTATTGTAGATCAATGACAAAAACAACAACAATTAATCAATTTCAATACCCTTTTGTAACACAACAAAATGTGAAAAAGTCCTGAGGGTGTGGGGGGGTGAATACTTAATATAGGTCCCATTAGTTCTTTGCACGTAGACTGTTATATACATTGTTTGTTTGTCGACAAGGTATGTGAAATATGATACCAGACAGTTGGGTAAAAAATGATTGACACCCTTGATTAAGATGAGCAATAATGCCTGTATATAATACAGTTGAAGTCGGAAGTTTACATACACCTTAGCCAAATACATATAAACTCAGTTTTTCACAATTCCTGACATTTAATCCTAGTAAATATTCCCTGTTTTAGGTCAGTTAGGATCGCCACTTTATTTTAAGAATGTGAAATGTCTGAATAATAGTAGAAAGAATGATTTATTTAAGCTTTTATTTATTTCATCACATTCCCAGTAGGTCAGAAGTTTACATACACTCAATTTGTATTTGGTAGCATTGCCTTTAAATTGTTTAACTTGGGTCAAACGTTTTGGGTCGCCTTCCACAAGCTTCACACAATAATTTGGGTGAATTTTGGCCCATTCCTCCTGACAGAGCTGGTGTAACTGAGTCAGGTTTGTAGGCCTCCTTGCTCGCACACGCTTTTTCAGTTCTTCCCACACATTTTCTATAGGTTTGAGGTCAGGGCTTTGTGATGGCCACTCCAATACCTTGACTTTGTTGTCCTTAAGCCATTTTCCCACAACTTTGGAAGTATGCTTGGGGTCATTGTCCATTTGGAAGACCCATTTGCCACCAAGCTATAACTTCCTGACTGATGTCTTGAGATGTTGCTTCAATATATCCACATAATTTTCAAGTGCACCAGTCCCTCCTGCAGCAAAGCACCCCCACAGCATGATGCTGCCTGTACCCCCCTAAGCTTCACAGTTGGGATGGTGTTCTTCGGCTTGCTAGCAACCCCCTTTTTCCGGCAAACATAACGATGGTCATTATGGCCAAACAGTTCTATTTTTGTTTCATCAGACCAGAGGACATTTCTCCAAAAAGTATGATCTTTGTCCCCATGTGCAGTTGCAAACCATAGTTAGTCTTTTTTATGGCGGTTTTGGAGCAGTGGCTTCTTCCTTGCTAAGCGGCCTTTCAGGTTATGTCAATATAGGGCTCGTTTTACTGTGGATATAGATACTTTTGTACCTGTTTCCTCCAGCATCTTCACAAGGTCCGTTGCTGTTGTTCTGGGATTGATTTGCACTTTTCGCATCAAAGTACGTTCATCTCTAGGAGTAAACTTCCGACTTCAACTGTAAATCATTCAAATACGGAGCTTTAAGACATACTAACCTCCCCTGTTATTTGTAATGGTGAGAGGGGTATGATTTTTGACCTTCTGTAACTTTCACACTCATCATTATTCACAATTAATTCAGGATTATTCATAATCACGGTAGCATCCACATTCATGTAGAAGTGTTTAGAAACAAGTGACTCCAAAAGCTTGATGTAGTGATTGCGTGCTAGGAAAACTTTTCACTACTTTATTTATTTAAAAAAAGATTAATTGTTACATAAAATCTCTTTCTCTGAGCAATTGTATACGGTGTCCCGTATACGGGACGGTTAAACTAACGTGTGCTAATGTGATTAGCATGACTGTTGCCTACAATATAGCTCAGTATTTGAGTTATTAATTTTATACAGTCATTATTGCTCAACTATATCAAGGGTGTAAATAATTTCGGACCCCACTGTATGTGTAGTGTCTGGCCCTGGTCTCTCTGTCTCTCTCACCCACCTTCTCTGTGCTGTCGATGTCACAGGTGATCCCGTGCAGCACCAAGTCCAGTTCAGGTCGGTAGCGGACCTTGAAGTTTTCGAACCTCAGCCTCCCAGCCTCAGGCCATTTCTCTAGCGGTCGCTTCTCTGACACCCAGTCTGCCTGTTCAAACACACATACAAGTTTTATATACAACTCCACCAAACAAAACACACACGCTTAGCACACACACCTTTACCAAAACTAGCTTTAGAAAGCTGTCACACGGAAATGATCAGCACACGTGTGTTCTAAAACAGTGTGTCTGAAGCGATGGGCCGAAAGCCAGAAGTGATGTGCAGTTCGCAAACTATTTGTTATTTTTGAACAACTATTTTTACTGACTCCAGTCATGATTTGTTTTTCAGAGTGAGTCGTTCATTTTAGTTGTTCGTTTGACCTGCTGGCCGCAATGAATTCTACAGCAGGATTAACGCCATATATCCACCAGATGCACATGTATGACTAAAACATAATCATTTCAAACCTTGCTTACATTTGTATACGATCATGTGTCTCTCTATTATGCGTGGGAATACTTGGGAACAGATTTCTTAAATAAAAATCAAAGTGCAGTCGCAAAAAACATCAAGCGCTATGATGAAACTGGCTCTCATGACGACCACCACAGGAATGGAAGACACAGAGTTACCTATGCTGCAGAGCATAAGTTCATTAGAGTTAACTGCACCTCAGATTGCAGCCCAAATAAATGCATCACAATGTTCAAGTAACAGACACATCTCAACATCAACTGTTCAGAGGAGACTGCATGAATCAGGCCTTCGTGGTCGAATTGCTGCAAAGAAACCACTACTAAAGGACATCAATAATAAGAAGAGACTTGCTTGGGCCAAGAAACACGAGCAATGGATATTAGACGGGTTGAAATCTGTCCTTTGATTACATTTGCGATTTTCGGTTCCAACCGCCATGTCTTGGTGAGACGCAGAGTAGGTGAATGGATGATCTCCGCATGTGTGTTTCCCACTGTGAAGCATGGAGGAGGAGGTGTGATGGTGTGGGGGTGCTTTGCTGGTGACACTGTCTGTGATTTATTTAGAATTCAAGGCACACTTAACCAGTATGGCTACCACAGCATTCTGCAGCGATACGCCATCCCATCTGGTTTGGGCTTAATGGGACTATCATTTATTTTTCAACAGGACAATGACCCAACACACCTCCAGGCTGTGTAAGGGCTATTTGACCAAGAAGGAGAGTGATGGAGTGCTGCATCAGATGACCTGGCCTCCACAATCCCCTGACCTCAACCAAATTGAGATGGTTTGGGACGAGTTGGACCGCAGAGTGAAGGAAATGCAGCCAACAAGTGATCAGCATATGTGGGAACTCCTTCAAGACTGTTGAAAAAGCATTCCAGGTGAAGCTGGTTGAGAGAATGCCAAGAGTGTGCAAAGCTGTCATCAAGGCAAAGGGTGGCTATTTGAAGAATTTCAAATATAAAATATATTTTGATTTGTTTAACACTTTTTTGGTTACTACATGATTCCATATGTGTTATTTCATATTTTTGATGTCTTCATTATTATTCTACAATGTAGAAATTGTACAAATAAAGAAAAACCCTTGAATGAGTAGGTGTTCTAAAACTTTTGACCGGTAATGTATATACAGTACCATTCAAAAGTTTGGACACACCTACTCATTCAAGGATTTTTCTTTATTTTTACTATTTTTTACATTGTGTTCCGTAACCTCCCAATTTACAAATTAAGCACTGGTTTAAACCCATCAGTCCGTCATGGATGTGCAGAATGACTTACTATAGATTTATTTTATTCATTTTTATTATTTACACTACTAGTTCTGTTGCTAGGATGCCGTGTTGACAAGAACTAGAGTTCATGGCTTGTTTTGTCATAGAATAAATTAAAACTTTGTTCTGAAGAGTTGAGATACAGAAGAGAGAATATATTACACATATTACCCCTGGGTGAAAAATCTGTTGATGTGCCCTTAAGCAAGACACTTAACCCTAATTGCTCATGTAAGTCGCTCTGGATAAGAGCGTCTGCTAAATGACTAAAATGTAAATATTACACCTAAAATGTTTTCTATATAAATAAGGCTTATTTGGCTTGTAATGATAGGGGAACCTTTTTGGTGTTATATATAACCCTTTTGGAAAGGTTATTTTAAAATCATGCTCATATGGTTCTAAATGGAACCTTTAGGGTGCTATAAGGAACCCTTTCTTCAAGTTCTATAAAGAACCATTAACCTCCACGGGATCTGTGTCCCGTATACGGGACGGTTGAGCTAACGTGCGCTAATGTGATTAGCATGACTGTTGTAAGTAACAGCAAACTTTCCAGGACATAGACATGTCATAAATGGGCAGAAAGCTTACATTCTTGTTAATCTAACTGCACTGTCCAATTTACAGTAGCTATTAAAGTGAAAAAATACCATGCTATTGTTTGAGAAGAATGCACAACAACAAAAAACGTATCACTGCAACTGATTTGATACATTCACCTCTGAAGGTAAATAATGTACTTACATTCAGTAATCTTGCTCTGATTTGTCATCCTAAGGATCCCAGAGATAAAATGTAGCATAGTTTTGTTTGATAAAATCAATTTTTATATTCAAATGTAGGATTTGGGTTTCACAGTTTGAACCCCTGCTGACTCTGGCGCCACACCCACCCCGCCCGGCCATCTAGATGTGTGGAAGTTAGTGTATAAGCTAATGATCCATCATGTATAACATTCCTGGGAGTGTGTAAACTTACATTTTGTATTACCATATAATTTTTGTATGTTTTCTATAGCTATGTACTTGAAAATGTATCAATTGACCAATTCGGCACATTTGGAGCAGACTTAGTCCAGTATTGCAACGCTTCTCTGGATCAATCTGAAACTTTGCACACACACTGCTGCCGTCTAGTGGCAAACATCTAAATTGCGCCTAAACTGCAATATTATATTGTGGCCTTTGTCTTTTTTTTATTTTTTTTTGAAAATGCATGTTTTTTTGTTTGTATCATCTTTTACCATATCTAATGTGTTGTATTCTCCTATATTAATTTCACATTTCCACAAACTTCAAAGTGTTTCCTTTCAAATGGTATCAAGAATATGCATATCCTTGCTTCAGGTCCTGAGCTACAGGCAGTTAGATTTGGGTATGTCATTTTAGGCGAACATTTAAAAAAAGGGTCCGATCCTTAAGAGGTTAAAAAAGTTTCTATATAGCACCAAAAAGGTTTCAGCTATCGTACAACCCCTTTTTGTTCTTTAAAGAACAAATCTAAAAGGTTCTACAAGTAACCTTTTGAAAAACTATACAGGGCTCTTTACTGTTGTTAGCCATATTTTATTTTGTGTTGAATAAAAATTCCATAGGTGTTATTATTGTGTTAGTTGACAAGTTGAATCATGTGTGCTAGCTCTGGAATAGATGGAACGGTTGGGGGTCCCCGAGGAGAGGTTTAAGAACCACTGATTTAGTCAATATATTTAACTTTTTCTTAACTTACACAAGGCCTTACGAGACACTTTAACATGCGCTAGTCCTGTTCAACATTTAATGGCATAACACAACAGATTAAATCAACTGACACTCTCACTCATGGTTGCACAAAAAGAGCTGTGAGCAAACCATGCCCCAAAATATTCGAATGAGCTGCTGCCCCTAAGTTTTAACTATCCCTAAAAGAGGAAAGAACCCTTTTCTTAAAGCTGCAATATGTAACTTTTTTGGGCGAACCGACCAGATTCACATAGAAATGTGAGTTATACTGTATATCTGTCATTCTCATTGAACACACACAGACCTCATTCTCTATCTCCGTGTACTCGCTGACTCTCTCCACAGCTACGATGTTGGTCTCCAGTTCTGATGTCATCCTCACCAGCCAGTTCAGGGTCTGAGTCACCTACATGTCAGAGGTTAGGGGTCAGGGGTCACTACCACCAAGTCATCATCACCTTATTATCATTCCATCATTCATAAAATCCATTAAGTGCTTTTTACAAATACATATTTGTCAGGGAGTACTCAACAGTAACCCAGGCCTTAACCCTGATTCATCTCCTTACATAATAATAATATTAATAATAATAATAATAATAATAATAATAATTAATTATTATAATTATAATTAATTAATTACATTTGTAAAGTATTTTTCATCAAAAGATCAAAGTGCATACAAAGTAAAGTAATAATAATAACAATAATAATATTATATTCAGTATGTATAACCATTCAAGTACTGTGCAGAGGGTTTTGACCATGGGGGCTTCAGTTTAACAGAACTGAATCAGAGTTCAGGTTGGTTAGATGTTAATACAATGGCACTTCAATTTGAGAGCATCTACTCTTGACATTTACAGTATACTGTATGTGACTTCTGCTATCAGAATTTGATGAGTGCATGGAAAAGACAGGTCTAGATGCACAAAAGTCACATTGGCTGCGTTTACACAGGCAGCCCAATTCTGATCTATTTTTTATAATTTGGCAAAAGATCAGAATTGGGCTGCCTGTGTAAATGCAGCCAGAGTGTTGTGAAGGGTCATGGCACTGTAACAGGACATCTAATTGCTCCCAATTACCCCAGGCCACGCCCCTTGCCTCCACACCTGTTTCCTACTCCCTAATCACCTCTTCTCTTCTGTCACCCCTCTCAGTTCCCTATATAAGCAGAATATACAGTACATGTTAAGCCCATATTTTCCCCATAGTCACCTGGCACCACCTTGTCATTCACCATTTATGTTTATGTTCCTAATGTTTCCCTTTTTGTATCTCATCCAACCTTCCTACCTACCACACTACCGGCCCTACAAGCCCTACCAAACCTCCATTCCAAACCCTCCCCCATGTGCCTCTGTGTTCGTGTTCAACTCTAAACCTGGATCCCTTATCTCCTCATTCTGCATTCTGACCGATACCATGGTGGCAGCTCAAATCCTAAACCAGTTAGTCCTTTGAAACACCTCATACAGTCCTTCCTTCATTTTACTGAGATTTGACCATTGAAAGCACAGATTAACCATCCTCAACAAAACACTTCTCTCTCTGGTATAGTACAGTGAATTGAGAGATAAATAATCGGTTCCCCAAGGTCATATTCAGTAGGCACAACACAGAAGAATACTGTTTGTGTGTGTGTGTGTGTGCGTGCATGTGTGTGTGCGTGCCTGTGGTGTACTCACGTTGAGGGCATAGGAGATGGAAAGGCCGACCAGGCCACTTTCCAGAGAGTCCCGGGAGATGACAGCAAGCAGAGCTGAGAAAAACACTACCAGGTTACCAAGGAACTCTAGACGGATGGCCAGCCACCTGCAGGACAGAAAGACAGGCATTACAGACAGATGGACAGACAGACAGACGATGCAGGCAGACAAACAAGACAGACCACAGACGGCTGCAGGCACCTTAATTGGGGAGGATGGGCTCAATCTTCACTAACGACATGTCACTGGCTTTGAGTAAAGCCAGTGTGTCTATGTATGCGGATGACTCAACACTATACACGTCAGCTACTACAGCGACTCAAATGACTACAACACTTAAGAAAGAGCTGCAGTTAGTTTCAGAATGTGTGGCAAAGAATAAGTTAGTCCTAGATATTTCAAAAACTAAAAGCATTGTATTTGGTACAAATCATTCACTAAACCCTAAATCTCAACTAAATCTTGTAATGAATAATGTAGAAATTGAGCAAGTTGAGGTGACTAAACTGCTTGAAGTAACCCTGGATTGTAAACTGTCATGGTCAAAACATATTGATATAACAGTAGCTAAGATGGGGAGAAGTCTGTCTACAATAAAGCGCTGCTCTGCCTTCTTAACAACACTATCAAGGCAGGTCCTACAGACCCTAATTTTGTCGCACCTGGACTACTGTTCAGTCGTGTGGTCAGGTGCCACAAAGAAGGACTTAGGAAATTGCAATTGGCTCAGAACAGGGCAGCACGGCTGGCCCTTAGATGTACACAGAGAGCTAACATTAATAATATGCATGTCAATCTCTCCTGGCGCAAAGTGGAGGAGAGATTGACTTCATCACTACTTGTATTTGTGAGAGGTATTGACATGTTGAATGCACGAGCTGTCTGTTTGAACTACTGGCACACAGCTCAGACACCCATGCATACCCCACAAGACATGCCGCCAGAGGTCTCTTCACAGTCCCCAAATCCAGAACAGACTATGGGAGGCGCACAGTACTACATAGAGCCACGACTACATGGAACTCATGCAAGCAGTAAAATTTGATTTTAAAAAATGATACAAATACACCTTATGGAACAGTGGGGACTGTGAAGCAACACAAACATAGGCACAGACACATGCATACAACCACACGACAACATACGCACTATACACACACGTACACATTGATGTTGTGTTATAGATATGTGGAGATATAATAAGGGCCTGAGGGCACACACTTAATGTGTTGTGAAATCTGTTGTGAATATATTGTAATGTTTTTAAAATGGTATAACTGCCTTAATTTTGCTGGACCCCAGCTGCCTTGGCAGCAGCTAATGGGGATCCATAATAAATACAAATACAAATAGTAATGGCTGGAACGGAATAAATTGAATGGTATCGAACACGTCAAACACATAGTTTCCATGTGGTTGAAACCATTCCATTCACTCCCTTCCAGCCATTATTATGAGCCATCCTCCCCTCAGCAACTTCATGTGAGACAGAGAGACAAGACTGACAAGACTAACAGACATTTAGTCAAACATTAGACATCACAGATACACCGTAACATTTCAGACAGAAAGGAACTGCACATTATGGAGTGCTGTTTTGATATGAAGAAAACTGAGTGTGTTCCTGACCTGTTGGAGACTATCCACGGGTAGACCGACTTGAGGTTTTCATCAATGACTTTCTCGTTGTGTTTGAGGAAGCGTTCCTGGTGTCCATAGGCCCGGATGACCGACAGACCAGACACTGTCTCTCCGAAGTGAGAGTAGATGGGAGACCGAGACACCGAGTCCAGACGACGCAGCTGCCGTGAGGTCGCCACATAGAAACGCTGAGGGGAGAGAGAGAAGATGGAGGAATGGAGTGAAGGAGAGAGAGAATAAATTATTCACAAATCATATACTGATGTGGCACTGACCACGTTTACATGCACACCAATATCCTGTTATTATTCGGGATACTCAAGTATTCTGTTTTTGAATTGACGCATATAAACATCATATCCCGTTTACAATAACCCGAATAAGCTCCTATCCCGGTTTTGAGAAACCCAAATAAGATGCCTGGGATATGCATGTAAACATCTTATCCCGTTTACTGTCGTTTTTTGGGGGTCTGCGCAGACTCAGTTTTGCATAGTATCACCTTTGAAGTTCAGATGGGAACAGTAATAGTTGGAATAGTAACTGAAGTCTGGACACTGACTGTAGGCCTCACATGTAGCCTATTATAGTACTCCTGCAGAATTAAGTGTTTCTTGGAGTAAAATTATAGACCAAATGTTAATTCTGTCTCGGGAACAGGAGTGGAGAAATATTATTTATTTCATCTTGAGAAAATGTGAATGAATGCCCACGTGTTATTTAGACTAAAAGTTGACAGTATTTAACCTTCAACCACATAAAATATGCATCCAAGACTAACTGAAATACTATCAAAAACATGTTGGATAGTTTTCACAGCTGTTCATTTCCTTAAAACCGGTCAACAAACTGATGTAATTTGGAAATTATACACAGAAATCTCGCTGGTTTACCGATGTCAACTAGATGGTTGATGATGCATTCATTCTATCATTTATGACATTATTCTGGTGAGCAAGGCTTTATTTAAGCAATAATACACTCGAGGCCATGTGTTATGACATTTTTATCATGGCTGTGACGTGGTCATAGCCAGGATGCGATGCCGAGTGGCATAGACCACCACAGCCATGATAAAAATGTCATAACACATGGACTCGAGTGTATTATTGCTTTAATACAATGGGTTACCATTAAAAATCAAGATTATTTCCCAAACCATACATTTTTCAACAAAAAGTGATGCTACATTCACTAACACTGGTTGTCAAGTGACATTTTAGGCATTCTCTGGTCGTTAGTTCTATTCGTATTGACTGCCATGTAAAGCAAAACTACCCAAGCGCTGGTTGATAGTTCCAGAACCTTGGTTTCTAGAGACGCTGTCCATGATTCTGAAAACAGCGCACGTCTGGTCTACGCATAGGAAAATTGAATGGCAGATTGAAACATTAAGGGCGCTGTCCGTGGATCTGAAAACAGTGCTGAAACATTGTAGCAAAGACATTGACACAGATCAGAATAGAAACCACAATGACATTTTTTTTCAGATGGTCACAGCATCGACAGCTATTAATTTATGATACTGAATTGCACATTTCCACGGGGCAGAGCTCATTGCCTAGGTTCTCATACATGTAGCCAGGACGATTCTCTCTGTCTCTTTCCATTGCATTTTTGTTTCTTCATTGAAACTCAGTTCCATATCTCAAACCATTTTTGTCTTCTTTTAATTACGAATGAGTCTGGCTTCAGTTTGCGAGGCTTCAGTTTGCGATTTCCTTCATTGCCTCTTCGGCCAAAGTGCAACTGCAAATCAAACCACACCGTATTCAGTAGGTGGCATAGAAATTCCGCTAGGTAGCTTCTTTCATTTCTCTCCTTTTCTATGTCGTCTATAGCAGCGCTAACGTTACTGATTTCTGCATGTCTAACGTTAACACTAGGCTCAGGTTGATGGTCCACTTGCTCTTCTTCGTGTTTTATTTCTTTCATATCCTCCTCCTCTTCTTGTTGGCACCATTCTTCAAACGTTAGTGGATAAAACAAAATCAAAAGTAACTTTAAAATCATCCATGACGACTTACAGGTGCTAATGCTAGTAGTTGTAAAAGTAGTAGTGGCAGTGCGTTGCTAGCTAACGACGTAAACGATGCCACTTCATATGCACGTGGCCATGTGTATGTTGTCTCATATACTGTATCATGGGCAGGAGAGGCTTTAATAATGGGAATTCCAAACCACCCATTGTATAATTAGTATTCTAGAGCATCAAGTAATGACAGAAGAGAAGCTGCATGTATCTAATTATAGACAAGATTACTAACAAATAGCTTATTATAAGCAGACAAATACTATATCTAAATGAGACTTAAAAACTCCATGTCAAAAAAATCGTTACGCCGTCCCTGGGCAAATTAGGAATATTCTGTTTATTCGTGGATATATGGAAACTCGTAAGCGGGTATCAAAGGTGCATATAAACATCTTATCCTGAATAAGATCTTAACCGGGATATGAGCTATTATCCGGAATACTGTACGCATGTAAACGTGGTCAGCGACAGGACCATCTTTATCTGCCCCCACTCTCTCCCTCTCTCGCTCTTTTCCACCCTCTCCCTCCGTCTCTCTCCCCCATTCCTTTCAGTCCCAATGATGTAGGCCTCCTGTAGCTCAGTTGGTAAAGCATGTATGTAAAAATGTTAAAAAATAAAAAAAATAAAAAGTACTGTATACCCTAGATTGCTGGTGCTACACTACATGACCAAAAGGTATGTGGACACCTGCTCGTCGAACATCTCATTCTAAAATCATGGGCATTAATATGGAGTTGGTCCCCCCTTTGCAGCTATAACAGCCTCCACTCTTCTGGGAAGGCTTTCCACTAGATGTTGGAACATTGCTGCGGGGACTTGCTTCCATTCAAACCATTTCTGTATGGACCACGCTTTGTACACGGGGGCACTGTCATGCTGAAACAGGAAAGGGCCTTCCCCAAACTGTTGCCACAAAGTTGGAAGCACAGAATCGTCTAGAATGTCATTGTATGCTGTAGCGTTAAGATTTCCCTTTACTGGGACTAAGGGGCCTAGCCCGAACCATGAAAAACAGCCCCAGACCATTATTCCTCCTCCACCAAACTTTAAGGTTGCACTATGCATTGGGGCAGGTAGCGTTCTCCTGGCATCCGCCAAACCCTGATTTGTCCGCTGGACTGCCAAATGGTGAAGCGTGATTCATCACTCCAGAGAATGCATCTTCATTGCTCCAGAGTCCAATGGCAGCAAGCTTCACACCACTCCAGCCGAAGCTTGGCATTGCACATGGTGATCTTAGGCTTGTGTGCGGCTGCTCGACCATAGAAACCCATTTCATGAAGCTCCTTCGGTAGTGAGCGTTGCAACCGAAGACAGACGGTTTTGATGCGCTACGAGCTTCAGCACTCGGTGGTCCCATTCTGTGAGCTTGTGTGGCCCACCACTTCGCAGCTGAGCCGTTGTTGCTGCTAGACGTTTCCACTTCACAATAACAGCCCTTACAGTTGACCGGGGCATCTCTAGCAGGGCAGACATTTGACGAACTGACTTGTTGGAAAGGTGGCATCCTATGACGGTGCCATGTTGAAAGTCACTGAGCTCTTCAGTAAGGCCATTCTACTACCAATGTTTGTCTATGGAGATTGCATGGCTGTATGCTCGATTTGATACACCTGTCAGCAACAGGTGTTGCTGAAATAGCCAAATCCACTAATTTGAAGGGGTGTCCACATACTTTTGTATATATAGTGTCTGTATTGGCCAATAAGAAGCTTTGAAGCCACCATCCTCCATATTGGTACTCAGAAGGAGCAGTCCTCCATAGGAATTAATGGAATTCTACAGTATTTCAAGAAACATTTTCAAGGCCCAAATTACTGTATTTGTTGAAGTGGGGACAGTAACATTAGTACTCTCTTAAAATTCTACTTTTAAGGATTTATAGTTTTTTATATAGTCATATATTTTTTTTAATTATGGATTCCGAAGGTCGTGGGCGCCCCCATGCCACCCCACTTCTTTGTGTTGTCATTTCACTTTGAACGAAAACAAGGGGGTTGAGCGCTGAGCCGTCTTGGGCTGGCCTTCTGGGCAAGGTGTGTTTGTCTTTGCGCTAAATCCCGCCTACTCTAATGACCCTGCTGCCATGGTACCCAGAGCAGGAGAGGAAGTGAAAGTCACATGCAAGTTACAGCCGCCAGAAACAAACACAGAGCAGACAAAGCCAACAAACTAGCTAGCTAGCTAAGTTGTTTGCAGATAAACTGTCCTGGTAGCAGGGACAACGTTTTCTGATAATGTCGACACCAACAAGCATCATTCTCAGTTCTTGGATCTGAATCAACTCAACCCCAAAATTGAAAAAGAAGCGAGAAAAAGACTGTTCATCATAACCAATCCAGAAACCGGATAAACATTGGAATTAATTTTGAAAGATGGAAGAGTGATGCCGAAATGGCCACCGTTCTCATGGACTGGTAGGTAAGTGTTGTTTTTCAACCACTCCACAAATGTCTTGTTAACAAACTATAGTTTTGGCAAGTCGGTGTATGACACAAGTAATTTTTCCAACAATTGTTTACAGACAGATTATTTCACTTATAATTCACTATATCACAATTCCAGTGGGTCAGAAGTTTACATACACTAAGTTGACTGTGCCTTTAAACAGCTTGGAAAATTCCAGAAAATGATGTCATGGCTTTAGAAGCTTCTGAGAGGCTAATTGACATCATTTGAGTCAATTGGAGGTGTACCTGTGGATGTATTTCAAGGCCTACCTTCAAACTCAGTGCCTCTTTGCTTGACATCATGGGAAAATCAAAAGAAATCAGCCAAGACCTCAGAAAAAAAAGGTAAACCTCCACAAGTCTGGTTCATTCTTGGAAGCAATTTCCAAATGCCTGAAGGTACCACGTTCATCTGTACAAACAATAGTACGCAAGTATAAACACCATGGGACCACGCAGCCGTCATACCACTCAGGAAGGAGACGCGTTCTGTCTCCTAGAGATGAACGTACTTTGGTGCGAAAAGTGCAAATCAATCCCAGAACAACAGCAAAGGACCTTGTGAAGATGCTGAAGGAAACAGGTACAAAAGTATCTATATCCACAGTAAAACTAGTCCTATATCGACATAACCTGAAAGGCTGCTCAGCAAGGAAGAAGCCACTGCTCCAAAACCGCCATAAAAAAGCCAGACTACAGTTTGCAACTGCACATGGGGACAAAGATCGTACTTTTTGGAGAAATGTCCTCTGGTCTGATGAAACAAAAATAGAACTGTTTAGCCATAATGACCATCGTTATGTTTGGAGGAAAAAGGGGGGTGGCTTGCAAGCCGAAGAACACCATCACAACCGTGAAGCACGGGGGTGGCAGCATCATGCTGTGGGGGTGCTTTGCTGCAGGAGGGACTGGTGCACTTCACAAAATAGATGGCATCATGAGGAAGGACAATTATGTGAATAAATTGAAGCAACATCTCAAGACATCAATCAGGAAGTTAAAGCTTGGTCGCAAATGGGTCTTCCAAATGGACAATGACCCCAAACATACCTCCAAAGTTGTGGCAAAATGGCTTAAGGACAACAAAGTCAATGTATTGGAGTGGCCATCACAAAGCCCTGACCTCATTCCTATAGAAAGCATGTGGAAGGCTACCCAAAACGTTTGACCCAAGTTAAACACTTTATAGGCAATGCTACCAAATACTAATTGAGTGTATGTAAACGGCTGACCGATTGGGAATGTGATGAAAGAAATGAAAGCTGAAATAAATCACCCTTTACTATTATTCTGACATTTCACATTCTTAAAATAAAGTGGTGATCCTAACTGACCTAACACAGGGAATTTTTACTAGGATTAAATATCAGGAATTGTGAAAAACAGTTTAAATGTATTTGGCTAAGGTGTATGTAAACTTCTGACTTCAACTGTACATACCTGTATACTTGGCAAAAATGTATGTTGACATTAATAAATGTATTTCTATAGCTTCCCAAATATTTTTTACAATGGTGGAGGAGTACAAAAATGGCTGTGCAGTGGCTTCAAAACAGACCCCCCGTTAGTCATCTAGGATTTATATACATCATTGCTCAGTCCCTTTCCCTCCCTCTCTCCTCCAACCACACACTCCTTTCTCTGTTTCTCTCTCTCTACCTGAACGAAGTAGTAGACCACAGCCAGAGGGACGATGATGGCGGTGAAAATGGGCGTTGCCAGGCAGATGACAAACAGCGTTCCAAGCACACCCAGGAAACACATGATCCAGGAGCGAAACGATTGGGGGATGGCCTCGTCCACTGTGAATATGTCCTACAACAGGAAACAGGTGGTGACATCATCAAACAGTAATATGGCATCACCAACAAGGATAAAGCGAACGCAGGGGTAATGGAATATTCAAATACGCCAGAGCTACGTTCATTAGGGCACGCAATGGAAAGCGTTTTAAAACGTTTTGCAAAGGAAAACATTTGTGACCGAAGTCCAGATAGTTCCTCTGTGTTTCAGTCCGTATTTTTTTCTTCATTTGGTGCCTAATGAACACAGCACAGTTGCAGGTTTAGCCCCTATACCTTGGCAAAGCGGTTGACAACCCTGCCGGATGGCGTAGTGTCAAAGAACATCATGGGAACACGAAGAATGTTGTTGAGCAGCCGGGAGTGGAGGATACGAGACGCATTGATAGAGCCGTTAGCCAGGAGTAGGGTGCCCATGAATACAAATAAACCTGTTGTGAGGAGAGGAGACCATTTTAATAAAACAGGTGTGTGTGTGTGTCTACAAATGGACAATACAGTCTTATTCTTCTCTCACGCTCACCTACTTCATAAGGTGTATTTAACATGGACAATGAAGCAACTTTTCTCTTTCTCTTCTTCTCCTCTTACCTTGAGCCACGCCCAGCGCACCGAATACACCAATCCGAGTGTCCCTCTTCCAGGTGGGGTAGGTTATGTTGTAGTAATCCTCTGCATCATTGGTCCAGTCACTCAGCCACACGTTCTGACCAATGAAAGCCACGTTCTGGATGAAGTACACCAGGAAGAACATGATGGAGTAGCCCCAGCCCATTGCACGTAGGTACTGGAGATACACCGAGAACTTCACCTGGAGAGAGAGAAAGAGAGAGACGGAGAGAGAGGGAGAAAGATAGAGAGAGACAGAAGAAGAAAAATAATCATGCCAATAAAGCACCTCAAATTGAAATGAATTGAGAGAGAGACAACAAAGAGAGAACGATGGATGTCTTTTAACTACATACACTTCAAAGAGAGAATCTTTACTGTTAGATGTTTTTTTCTCTGAATGCTTTTCAGCTTTTAATATTAAACAAATTATAGTTTCAACAGGATGTATTGGGGTTATTATTACTATTATTACCACTAGAAGGACTCTTTTGAGTGCATATGATTTCTCATACAATGCGCGCCCCATGCCTTGAATGACCAGTTGCCATTGAGTTTGTAGACTAGTGCATTTGATTTCTGGGTTCTTGCAGGGTTCTACAAACAGTAAGTGGTCTTGCTTTTTCCACCTCCATACCAAGGCTCTAAGTCAATACAGCCCACAATTTACTGTCCACAATATACCTGTCCCGTCTCCATGGTTTCCTTCTCGATCAGCCTCTGGCCTTTCTTGGTCTCGTCGTCAGCAGGTGGCTTCGGTTTCTTTAGGGAACTGTTCTTTCTCAACCTGACACTGGGAAACACACACAGATTGGGAAAAGAGGTGAGGGGATGGAGGAGAAAAGGAGGGGAAAGTGTGAGTGTATGTTCGATAATAAACACAAATACTTAAATGTCAGCGGTATTGGAGGAGGAAAATGTTTTGAAGGTGGAGTGAAATAATGTCGATTCTCACTGTAGAAGATGGAAGGATGAAGGGCAAGGAGGAGAGAGAGAGAAGATGGAGTCATTCACAAATGATGTACTAAAGTGACAATGGTAGTAGGCCTATATAAGGACTCTCTCTCTCTCTCTCTCTCTCTCTCTCTCTCTCTCTCTCTCTCTCTCTCTCTCTCTCTCTCTCTCTCTCTCTCTCTCTCTCTCTCTCTCTCTCTCTCTCTCTCTCTCTCTCTCTCTCTCTCTCTCTCTCTCTCTCTCTCTCTCTCTCTCTCTCTCTAGTTCGTTCTCTCTGTTTGCAGAGGGGTCATACCCATAGGGGGCACAGGGGCACGTGACCCCTCAGCTTTGTTCTGTTTTTGTTGTTGTTGTTTCTCTGTAATACTACTAGCCACCATTTTTATGAGGGTACAATTCAAGGTTATTCTGGCTGGAAAAGGAGGAAACGACTTGAAAAAGAAACTGAGTTTGAAAGGAAAATTAAAGTCCTAGAATTACGTAATTACAGTGCATTTGGAAAGTATTCAGACCCCTTGACTTTTTCCACATTTTGTTACGTTACAGCCTTATTCTAAAATGGATTTTTTTTTTAAGCCCTCAATCTACACACAATACCCCATAATGACAGTGAAAACAGGTTTGTTGTAAAAAATAAAATAAAACAAATACCTTATTTACATAAGTATTCCGACTCTTTGCTATGAGATTTGAAATTGAGCTCAGATGCATCCTGTTTCCATTGATCATCCTTGCGATATTTCTACAACTTGATTGGAGTCCACCTGTGGTAAAGGCTCACACCTGTTTAGCAAAAACCAAGCCATGAGGTCGAAGGAATTGTCCGTAGAGATCCGAAACAGGATTATGTCGAGGAACCAATCTGGGGAAGCATTGAAGGTCCCCAAGAACACAGTGGCCTCCATCATTCTTAAATTGAATCATTTTGGAACCACCAAGACTCTTCCTAGAGCCAAACTGAGCAATCGGGGGAGAAGGGCCTTGGTCAGGGAGGTGACCAAGAACCCAATGGTCACTCTGACAGAGCTCCAGAGTTCCTCTGGGAGATGGGAGAACCTTCCAGAAGGACAACCATCTCTGCAGCACTCCACCAATCAGTGGCCAGACGGAAGCCACTCCTCAGTAAAAGGCACATGACAGCCCGCTTGGCGTTTGCAAAAAGGCACCTAAAGTCTCTCAGACCATGAGAAACAAGATTCTCTGGTCTGATGAAACCAAGATTGAACTCCTTGGCCTGAATGCCAAGCGTCACGTCTGGAGGAAACCTGTCACCATCTCTACGGTGAAGCATGGTGGTGGCAGCATCATGCTGTGGGGATGTTTTTCAGCGACAGGGACTGGGAGACAAGTCAAGATCAAGGGAAAGATGAAAGGAGCAAAGTGCAGAGATATCCTTGATGAAAATATGCTCCAGAGCGCTCAGGACCTGAGACTGGTGTGAAGGTTCACCTTCCAACAGGACAACGACCCTAAGCACATAGCCAAGACCACGCAGGAATGGCTTCTGGACAAGACTCTAAATGTCCATGAGTGGCCCAGCCAGAGCCCGGACTTGAACCCGATCGAACACCTCTGGAGGGACCTGAAAATAGATGTGCAGTGACGCTCCCCATCCAACCTGATAGAGCTTGAGAGGATCTCCAGAGAAGAATGGGAGAAACTCCCCAAATACAGGTGTGCCAAGCTTGTAGCGTCATACTCAAGAAGACTTGAGGCTGTAATCATTACCAAAGGTGCTTCAACAAAGTATTGAGTAAAGGGTCTGAATACTTATGTAAGTATTTCTACAACTCAAAAACGTATTGTACTGAGAAAGACCTTTAGACTTTTTTTGATTGCATTAATTTACCAAAGTTGCACGATGTGCTTAAGTCCCAACTGGATGAACCAATCTCAATACAGGAAATCCACGATGCCATTGTAGAGCTCCCAAAATTAGAGGCACCGGGAAGTGATGGTTATACCTCAGAATTTTATAAGCAGTTTGCAACTATACTTTCACCAATACTGCTTAGACGGTATAATAATGTTTTGGATCATGGTATTGTAAATGGAACTACTGCTGAGGCAATTATCACACTCATTGCTAAAGGGGGAAAGACCTGTCTCAATGCTCTAACCATAGACCAATCGCTTTACTGAATGTTGATTTTTAAGATACTTTCTAAATTATTAGCAAACAGACTTAGGAAAGTTATTCACCCTTTGATTTCAACTGACCAGGTTGGTTTCATTTCAAATCGATGTAGCTCAGATAATGCAGGGGCATTTTGGTGTATAAAGCTGTGATGTTGAAGGTACCAGCTGTAGCATTATCACTTGACGCTGAAAAAGCGTTTAATCAAGTAGAGTGGACATTTTTATTCTATACAATAGAAAGATTTGGGTTTGGTCCTTTAATTATAAGATGGGTTTCCGATATATACAATAGCCCTATAGCAGCAGTTATAACAAATGGTATTATATATTATTTATTTCCGTTGGAGAGGGGCACAAGGCAGGGATGTCCGATGTCTCCCTTGCCCTTTGTTTTAGCATTAGAACCATTAGCAGAAGCCATAAGATGATAACTGATATTGAAGGTATTGTGGTGGTAAAGCATGAGCATAAACTGGCAGTGTATGCAGATGACATGTTATTGTTTGTTAGGAATCCAAAAACGTCAATTACGGGGCTACTTAAGTTGGTCAGAGATTGCTGGCTTCAAAATAAACTGGAAATAGTCAGAGGTTACTCCGATAAATGATCTATGTACTGAAGACCAAATTTCAGATTTAAATTTTGTTTGGGCTCCGGAAGGTCTGAAATATCTTGGTATTTTCCTATCATCAAATATTAAGTTAATGGTTGAAGAGAACTTGGAAGCTATTGTGAATTCCTTGAAAGCAGACTTTGTAAGATGGTCCTCCCTCTTTTTAACGTTCCGAGCAAGAATTGAAATAATAAAAATGACAGTGGCTCCAACAATCAATTACAAACTAAGCATGTTACCTCTCAATCTACCGCAATCCCTTCTTTAAGAAGATCAATTAAATTATCACTAAATGTATATGGAATTCAAAGCAACACCGCATCGGCTTATAGAAACTAATGATGCCAAAATATAAAGGTGGCATGGCACTTCCTGATATTAAAACATATTACATGTCATACAGTGAGGGAAAAAAGTATTTGATCCCCTGCTGATTTTGTACGTTTGCCCACTGACAAAGACATGATCAGTCTATAATTTTAATGGTAGGTTTATTTGAACAGTGAGAGACAGAATAACAACAAAAAAGTCCAGAAAAACGCATGTCAAAAATGTTATGAATTGATTTGCATTTTAATGAGGGAAATAAGTATTTGACCCCTCTGCAAAACATGACTTAGTACTTGGTGGCAAAACCCTTGTTGGCAATCACAGAGGTCAGACGTTTCTTGTAGTTGGCCACCAGGTTTGCACACATCTCAGGAGGGATTTCTTCCCACACCTCTTTGCAGATCTTCTCCAAGTCATTAAAGTTTTGAGGCTGACGTTTGGCAAATCGAACCTTCAGCTCCCTCCACAGATTTTCTATGGGATTAAGGTCTGGAGACTGGCTAGGCCACTCCAGGACCTTAATGTGCTTCTTCTTGAGCCACTCCTTTGTTGCTATGGCCGTGTGTTTTGGGTCATTGTCATGCTGGAATACATATCCACAACCCATTTTCAATGCCCTGGCTGAGGGAAGGAGGTTCTCACCCAAGATTTGACGGTACATGGCCCATCCATCTTCCCTTTGATGCGATGAAGTTGTCCTGTCCCCTTAGCAGAAAAACACCCCCAAAGCATAATGTTTCCACCTCCATGTTTGACGGTGGGGATGGTGTTCTTGGGGTCATAGGCAGCATTCCTCCTCCTCCAAACACGGTGAGTTGAGTTGATGCCAAAGAGCTCGATTTTGGTCTGATCTGACCACAACACTTTCACCCAGTTCTCCTCTGAATCATTCAGATGTTCATTGGCAAACTTCAGACGGGCATGTATATGTGCTTTCTTGAGCAGGGGGAACTTGCGGGCGCTGCAGGATTTCAGTCCTTCACGGCGTAGTGTGAAAACCAATTGTTTTCTTGGTGACTATGGTCCCAGCTGCCTTGAGATCATTGACAAGATCCTCCTGTATAGTTCTGGGCTGATTCCTCACTGTTCTCATGATCATTGCAACTCCACGAGGTGAGTCTTGCATGGAGCCCCAGGCTGAGGGAGATTGACAGTTCTTTTGTGTTTCTTCCATTTGCGAATAATCGCACCAACTGTTGTCACCTTCTCACCAAGCTGCTTGGTGATGGTCTTGTAGCCCATTCCAGCCTTGTGTAGGTCAACAATCTTGTCCCTGACATCCTTGGAGAGCTCTTTGGTCTTGGCCATGGTGGAGAGTTTGGCATCTGATTTATTGATTGCTTCTGTGGACAGGTGTCTTTTATACAGGTAACAAGCTGAGATTAGGAGCACTCCCTTTAAGAGTGTGCTCCTAATCTCAGCTCGTTACCTGTATAAAAGACACCTGGGAGCCAGAAATCTTTCTGATTGAGAGGGGGTCAGATACTTATTTCCCCTCATTAAAATGCAAATCAATTTATAACATTTTTGACATGCGTTTTTCTGGATTTTGTTGTTGTTATTATGTCTCTCACTGTTCAAATAAACCTATCATTAAAATTATAGACTGATCATGTCTTTGTCAGTGGGTAAACGTACAAAATCAGCAGGGGATCAAATACTTTTTTCCATCACTGTATGTAGCCAGACCAATTATATACTGGCTCTACCCACCAAAATAACCCCCCTCTTGGGTAGCAATTGAAGAAGAAATGTTCCACCCCATGCCACTTAGATTGATAGCATACGGAATGCTACCTGAATACTGAAAGAACATTCCAACAATATCTGCTTCTTGGAACGTTCTTAAAATTGTTGGAAATAAATGTGCAGTCTCCTTATGTACCTCTTTTTAAGCAACCATCTGGAGCAATCTGCACATATTAATCAATCACAGACCGTTATTGTGGAGAGATTGGCTACAGATGGAGTTTGGACCGTGTCTGATTTGTATAAAGATGGTAAAATTATGGATCTGAATGAACTGAAGGATAAGACCGGCTCTACCAACCATTTTACAATCATTCAGATTGTACAGGCAGTCAAGTCGGCCGATAGAACAACACATTTAAACATGATTTGAACGAATTGGAAAGTTTCATAAAGGGTGTCCATTCCAAAGACCACCTGGCATCCAGGGTGTATAAATTCTTAAACAAAAAAGCAAGGGGACTAAACCTTCCCTTAAGAGAAAAATGGGGTAAAGATTTGAAGATGAATATACAATAAATTGAATAGAAAAAGGTGTGGAAAAACTTTTTTTAAACACGCAGAGAGTCTAAAGCACAAATGGTTCAGTATAATATAATTAATAGAAGTTACTGGACTCCCTCTAAAATGTAAAAGGCAAAAATGACAACCGACCGCAAATGTTGGAGATGTAAATCAGATGATGCCGGGCTTGTATATCTTGGTCAAGTGTCCTAAGTTGGAAACATATTGGAAAATGATATTATCTCTATTTCAAGGCGCAATAGAAAATAGACTACACTCAAATGCAGGCTTTATCTTGCTGGGAATTAACCTCCCAGAAAATACACCAAATTCTTCCATGCTCAGGACCCCAACTCGCATTGCTAAAAGGGTAATTTTAAGGCATTGGGAGAGGAACATTTGCAGAATGGCTCAAACTGTCAATGAACACTGTCAAATTTGATAAAACTATTGCAAATGGATAATGCAAAGTCAAAAGAATATGAAGAAATATGGCCCAAGTTTGAAGTTACTGTCTTGGAGTGAATGAAAACATGGGGAAATGTATGTTATTTATAATATGTAATTAATACCAATCATGTGTATTGATACAAAATCATTATATCAATCAATAATATGTCATTCATACAAATCATGTATATAATGAGAAACTATCATTATTCATAATATTAAGTACCTATTTATTTATTGTTTTTGAAATTTCGTTATAAATGTCCATATATGCAACATCCTTATTTTGATGTATTGTTTGGATGAAATTGTGATTCGCAAAGAAAATAAAGGAAAGTATAGAAATGTGCCTTTATGAGTCAAAATTATTTGTACCAGGATGAGCGAGAACAATGTGTCGTGTTTACATGTGGTGTGTTTTGTTGTTTGGTTAGTGTGATATGTTGTATGTGTTGTAAATAATAATATATATATATTTTTTAAATAGCAATTTTATGAAGTTGGCTTTAGCTAGTCCAAATAGGTTCCCAATCTCCCAACCTCATAACTAGCTGCCAAGAAGCCATTTCAGGCTATAAATCAAGTTATAGTAGCTAGCTTGTCTAACGATCTTAGCTGGCATGCCTGCTGGCAAGATTTTTTGACTTTGGAAAAGTTAGCAATTACTAGATGTACTGAATAAGACTCACGTTCCTTTCCATCTTTTACCCAGATTTTAGCATACTGTAGGCTGTGACCGGGAGTCACATAGGGTAGCGCACAATTGGCCCAGCATCGTCTGGGTTAGGGGAGGGTTTGGCCGGGGGGGCTTTACTTGGCACATTGCGCTCCTTGTTGTGGGCCGGGCGCCTGGATTCTGTTTCCTCCAACACATTGGTGCAGCTGGCTTCTGTGTTAAGAAGCGCGTTTTGGCGGGTCATGTTTCGGAGGACGCATGAATCAACCTTTGCCTCTCCCGAGCCCATTGGGGAGTTGCAGCGATGAGACTGGATCGCAAATTGGGGTAAAGTATATATATATATTTTAATACAAAAATAAACACCAGTCAGGAGGATACAGGCAGCTCAAGATGTATGCTTAGATATGCAGAAAAATAAACATTTTTTTTTTTTTTTACATAGAATGAAGTATAATAATTATGGCTCTAGATTCCAGGAAAAGGCTGTTTCAGGTGTTTGAAAAATGCTAAATTCTCCAACCCCCAGCCATCCGCAGACCACCCCCCCAGCCATCATCGGACCACTCCCCAGCCATCCTCGGACCACCCCCCAGCCATCCTCACACCACCCCCCAGCCATCCTCAGACCACCCCCCCAGCCATCATCGGACCACTCCCCAGCCATCCTCGGAACCACCCCCCAGCCATCCTCTGACCACCCCCCAGCCATCCTCAGACCACCCCCCAGCCATCCTCGGAACACCCCCCAGCCATCCTTGGACCAACCCCCAGCCATCCTCGGACCAACCCCCAGCCATCCTCGAACCAACCCCCAGCCATCCTCACGTTCTTTGTGTGCCCTTAGATTTTTGTCTGTGTGTGTGTGTGTGTGTGAATGTGTGCATGCGCATGCATGCATTTGTGTACAGGCTTTGTATGGTTTATTGAAAATGGCTGTTGCTTTGTGTACCTTTTAACCACCCGGGAATCTGGCTCTGAACTAAAGAGCCATTTCAGACTCTCTCTCCTTCTTTCTCTCTCGCTCTCTCTCTCCTACCTTCCATTGCGTTGGCTGCGTCGGATGCTGCTCTCTCTCTTCAGGGTGATAGAGACAATGTCTTCAGGAGGGGCGTCTGCCTGAGGATCCTGTAAATCTGGGACTAGCTCCACCTCCTCACAGTCAGAGGTTGGGTCTGTTGATAAACACACACACACAACCAGTTACACACACACACAGCCAGTTACACACACACAGACAACAAAGACAGTTATACACACACACACACTCACCAGTGTGTTTCTTGCCCTCCTCTTTAGCATAGGTGTCCAGGAACTCAGAGAAAGCCCCCTTGCTGTCCTTGAGACTTTGGTATGACCCGACCTCAGAAACACATCCGTCTTTCAATACAACGATCTCATCCACATAGGGCAGGAAGCTCACTCCATGGGTCACCAAGATACGGGTCTACAGAGGGAGAAGGTGTAAGAGAGGAGGACGATGAGGAAGAGGATGAGGAGGAAGAGAAGAGGGAGGGGATGAGAGGAGGTTGGGCAGGAGAGGAGAGGAGAGAAAGGAGAAGGAGGTGGAGGAGAGGAGAGGAGAGAAACTGTACTCCATGGGTCACAAGTCCACGGAGGGATCAGAGAGATAGGACATATGTGCGTCCGTCCATTCATCCATCTGTCTGTTGATCTAATTTAGCTAATTTATTTGGTTAGCCATTCCACTCACCTTATCCTTGAGTATTCCTGTCGGTCCCACCACCTCCTCAAACAGATGTTTGCCCACATGAGAGTCTACGGCTGAGAGAGGGTCATCCAGTAGGTAAACGTCAGCCTGGCTGTAGGCTGCCCTGGCCAGGCTCACACGCTGCTTCTGACCCCCGGACAGGTTAATACCCTGGGGGAGGAAAGGAGAGGGGAAGGGAGGAGAGGAGAAGAGAGCGGAGGAGAGGGGAGGGGAGGGAAACGGGGACATAGGTCAATACCTGGACACGAGAGATGGAATTAGCTATAGAGAAATAATATAGTTGAATCTCTATGGCATTAGAATTTTAATTAGCTGTACAGTTTACTTCTTGAATTGACTGAATTGAAATGAAATTGACCCCACCATGGTCATTAGCTGGATACGAGAGATGGCATTATCCATAGAGATAGAACATAGTTTTTGCATTTAAATGAGCTGTGTTGATGGAAAAACAGGGTCCATCAAAAACACGGTCCATCATCACTGACACGTGAATTTGTTGTTTTTAGTGTACACACTGACTGACTATGATTCAAAGGCCCATTTGGGACTCAGACCCAATCTCAATGAGTTCTCCCCAGCCTCTCTCCCCTAACCACCTCCAGACCACCCAGTCCTCTCTCACCTTCTCCCCGATCTCAGTCTGGTCTCCCCCAGGCAACAACTCCAGGTCGGGCCCTAGGGCGCAGGCCTCCAGCGTAGCCTGGAAACGAGAGTCCTCCAGTGGGGAGCCAAACAGGATGTTGTCCCTGAGAGTGGCGTTCTGGATCCAGGCCTGCTGGGGCACGAAGGCTATCGACCCCTGAAGAGAGCAGAGACGGAAGGGGAGACAGAAGAGGGAAGAGGTGGGAGGAAGGAGTGTGGGCGACAGAGAGGGAGTGGGTGGGAAAGAGGGAGGGGAGGGAGTGCAGGAGGAGAGAGAGAAAGGGAGTGGGTGGGTGGGTAGAGAGGCAGGGGAGGGAGTGAAGAAGGAGGAGAGAGGGAAAAGGAGTGGGTGGGAAGAAAGGGAGGGGAGAGAGTGCAAGAGGAGAGAGAGAGTTTTAGCAATGACATTTACACTCTCCTCTATATGTATTTGGACAACAACGCTGAATTTTTCAATTTGGCTCTATACTCCAGCATTTTGGATTTGAAATAAAATGTTTCATATCAGGCAACAGTACATCATTTCACCTTTTATTTGAGGGTATTTTCATACTTATCTGTTTTACAGTTTAGAAATTAAATCACTTTATGTATCTAGTCTCCCCCATTTGAAGAAGTCATAAGTATTTGGACAAATTCACTTAAAGGGCTCTATTTTCGGCTGGTGGTAAGGAGGCGGAAGTGTCAAATGCACGTCAGTTTTGCAATTTAAGGGGTGGAAATATTTGAGGTGTGCCAATAGGCGCAACTAGGGATATTTAAGACCGACCAAAAGCTAGTGTTAGCGGTAACGCATTTGGTTATAGCATTGATTTTGCCAGCGGAGTCACACACAGTAGCCTCATGTACATCACCAACGTTTTATTAAAATATCACGAGCTTCAAAACAGTCAACAGACATTCCCTTTTTTTATTTCAATTGGACATAATTTTTGTACAGCTTCTGTGAAACATTTGGACTCATTATGTGCAATGCCCATTGCATGAAAGGTGTCAGTGACTGTAGTACGCCTGTTTAGGAACATCAAGTAATTTAAAAAGACTGCTTATTGTTTTTCATTATTATTCTGTCAAAAAATGCATCTTCCACTTTCCTCTGTTGGACCTAACTGTCAAATCGAGGGTATTCCGATCGCTGTCTGTGGTTCTGAATCCACTTGTAGGCTATATTTGCCTGTTTGTTTGTTTGTTTACTTTTCACGTGGCAAACCTCACTACTGGCCATTTCAACAGCAATAGTAAGCTTAGCTATATATATATATATATATATATATATATATATATATATATATATATATATATATATATATATATATATATATATATATAGTGGACATTCCCCCTTTCTCTTTATATTGGATCATTTTCCAGCTCCTGTGAAAAGTTCCACAGTCTACGTTGTCTTAGGCCTAATAAAATGTGATTTGATTTGAATATTATATGCCCATGGGGTGCAATTAGGGTGTCTGTAACTGTAATTAGACATAGCCTATTTAAAACAAGTTGTTGTTTCTTTTTATTAGAATTTGATTGGAATTATTCACTGTCTTTTTACGTCTTATCAATAGTGAATTTAATCTTGCTTATTGACAACATTTGGCATGTCCATAGCTCAGACATAATGTATTTTACAGTAGGCCTATATCAGTGTCAATGCCCCCCAAAAATGCTAACCTCCCCTGTTATTGGTAATGGTGAGATGTTAGCATGTTTTTTTTTGAGGCCTCTGTAACTTTCTCGCTCATTATTATTCATGGAATTTTTCTTAATCATGGCATATCGGATTGATTTAGAATTATTCAGAAACACCTAATCACTTAGAAAGAAAATTACTCCAGTCATCATTCACCATTCAGCTCCTATTGGACAGAACATAACCCCAAACAGCCAAATCCAACTGCAAATGCATCCAACGAGTTTGCAGAGGAACAACCCTGATAGAGTCATTGCGTGCTAGGTATATGGAACCAAATACTACACTTTTGACTACTTTAATACACTACAAGTGAATTTGTCCAAATACTTATGACTTCTTGAAATGGGGGACTAGATACATAAAGAGCTTTCATTTCTAAATGGTAAACAGATATGTATGAAAATACTCACAAATAAAAGGTGACATTCTGTCCTGTCGCCTCATAAAACACTTGATCTCAAATCCAAAACGCTGGATAATAGAGCCACATTTAAAATGTAAGCTTCACTGTCCAAATATGGAGGTGCAGCCAATCACTGGGAAACGGTTCCATCAACCTGCAGTGTGTGCAATCATGCTTTTTTCAGCGTTCTTATATTGGAAAGGTTAACTGTGAGGCTGCATACGTTCAAATTGGACCAGAGCTGTCAGTTTTGTCAAGAACTAAATCTAATTAGAAGCAGGTAGCCTAGCGATTAGAGCGTTGAGACAGTAACCAAAAGGTTCCTGGTTTGAAATACCTGAGCCAAGAAGGTGATAAAACTGTCGGTTTGCCATTCAGCAAGGCACTTAACCCTAATTTGCTCCAGGGGCACCATACTACTATGGCTGACCATGTAAAAACAACACATTTCACTGCACTTATCAGGTGTGTGTGACCAAAAAAAATGGGGTCTAATGGTCTAAGCCGCTGCCTCGGGAACACATTCTGCTGCAGCATGGGTTCGAATCCAGCACACTGCTATTCCAGCACGCTCTCTCCTCTCACTATCCTATCCAATAAAAAATAGGAGAGGAGTGGGACTGCCCCACTCCTGGAAAAAAAATGGACCGTATCTAAGTGTATATCTGTCTTCTGTATTGTTTGTTTATTTATTTACCCCTCCCCCCCACACACACACTCTCTTTGAAATTGTTGAATGTGTCAGTGTCATTTTGTGATGTTTGTGTTTTTGTCAAATCAATACATTATTTTAAAATAGGTCATATTGACTAATTTGAGTATTTAATGCGAGTATTAAAACAGTAAAAACAATTATTATTAACTGTATGACGTGTGTGTGTGTTACCTGTACATTGATGAAGCCCTTTGCACTGTGCATCTCTCCCAGCATTGCTGATATCAGAGAAGATTTCCCAGAACCCACCACTCCCACCACTGCTACCAGCCTGCCGGGCTTAATTTCCAATGACACACTGACACATACACAAACACACGCGCACACAACACATTTAACAAAGCAGAGGTGATGATTGCAAAAGCCACACCTCTCAAGGCATATCTGAGTATTTATTGAACCATTTTTTTACACTTTTAATAGCTGCTGTACTGACAGGAGAGGTTAAACTGAAAGTTAGCAATCCGTTGTACTGTGTACACTACCCTGTATCCAGTGCATATGACAATAAACTTTGATTTGATATTTGACTTCTCTGTTAAAGCACACACACACCCACACAACCACAGAGGAGGGAAACTCACTTTTTGAGAACAGGTTCAGCATCTTTCTCCCAAGCGAAGGTTCCATTACAGACACTCACGGCTGTGTCTGGGAACAGACATAGACACACGTTTGAGGCACAGGAGGTTGGTGGCACTTTAATTGGGGAGGACAGGCTCATGGTAATGGCTGGAGCGGAATTGGTGGAATGGCATCAAATACGTCAAACACAAGGTTTCCATGTGTCTGATGCCATTCCATTCGCTCCGTTCCGGCCACTATTATGAGCAGTGCTCCCCTCAGCAGCTTCCTGTGGTTTGAGGGGTGCTTGATTTAACTTGGCCATTTGCACTATTGACCACTATGCCACTGGTTTCATTGTACCGGCAAACTAAATGCAACTAATGCAACTAAAGTATTGACATAAAGGGACGGTTTCCTGGACACAGATTAAGACTAGTCCTTGACTAAATGGAGATTCTCAATTGAAAATGCTTCTTAGTCCATGGGACTAGGCTTAATCTGTGTCTGGGAAACCGTCTCAAAGTGTTTTGCTTTCTGGGGTTAAAGAGCAAGTAGCTCAGTGACCTACTGAAGCTGGGGTCGTGACGCACGGTGTTGGTGTCCAGGTCGTCTCCTCCCAGGAACTTCTCCAGACGCGTCTTAGAAACGCTGGTCTGGAGGGACAAACACACATTTAGTGTATTTAGTGTGTGTGTGTATGTGTGTGTGTCTTACCAAGCTAAATGATATTACTGCACTGCTTATTTTAACCCAAAAATAGTTCGATACAAGTCAGAATATATTGATACAAGACAAATTATCTTAAAGTAAATGCATTTTTGGGGTAAGCGAAATTAACTAAAAACAAGTCATTTAGACTTAATTATGTCAATATAATAATAAAAATGTAAGATGTGCGTGCAGTGTGTGTGCATGTGTGTGGATGTATGTGTGTGTGTGTGCGTGTGTGCGTGTGTGTTGTCCTACCTGCACCATTGCAGCTATGAGCATGGGTAGGAATGCCAGAGGGAAGCGGAGGATGTTGAACAGAGAGATGGAGGTGAAGGCTTTCCCTGCATCCAGAACGTTCTCTGAGTCCACTGCTACAAACACTGCAAAGGTTGCCAAGGAGACCTGGAGAGATACACAGGTTAGTTAGAGTGTGTGTGTGTGTGTGTGTGTGTGTGTGTGTGTGTGTGTGTGTGTGTGTGTGTGTGTGTGTGTGTGTGTGTATGTATGTGTGTGTATGTGTGTCTCTCGCTCGCAGTACTCACCAGGGCGGGGGCACAGGAGAAGATGAAGGTGGAGACGGAGGAGAGGTAGGCAAACTTCCTCATGACCCCCAGCTCTTGTTCTCTGATCCCCATCACCTGGTTCTGGAATGATGGTTCCCATGCATATAGCTTCAGGATCTGGAGAGTGGGAGGGGAGGGAGAGAGTGAGAGGTTGGAGGGAGGGGGGTGGGGGATGGAGAAAATAAGAGAGGGAATGAGGGAAGAGAGGGAGGGAAGAGAGGGAAGGGAGAGAGGGAAGGAGAGAAGAAGAGGGAGAGAGGTAGGGAAATGAGAAAAGGAGAGGGGGAGGTGGAGGTGGAACAGGTGGGAATAAGAGTAACGGCAGGTGAGAAAGTCTGAAGTGGCTCTTTAGTTCAGAGCAATATCCCCGGGTGGTTAAAATGTGCACAAAGCAGCAGCACAAAGCAGCAGCACTTCACAGCCATTTTCATTTTCAACAAACACACACAAAGTCACACACACACACACACACACAAAGTCACACACACACACACACAGTCACACACACACATGCACACACACAGGCCTGCTCAGAGGGAGTTAGCTCTTCTTACAGTAGAGCCCGAAAGCTTAATAAATATTACAATATTATAATATTACAATACTAAAAATGTATGGTAAATAATATTACAGTACTAATTATTACAAAACTATTATAATTCAACACAAAAACTATGATTTAAGTAAGAAATAGGCAAGTCTGAAGCCAAAAAAATTTAAAACATTCACATGAGCACCACAAGGCCTACTTCACCCATGCTCTACCAAGGTTTTCCAGCACACAACTTTGGCCTACTACAGTAGCTATGTTGGTCTATTGTACATCAAACAACTTGTAGGCAGGTTGCTTTGGATTCAAACCTCCTCAAACAGAAAAGTTTAATTTAAATTGGTGTCATATTGGCTTAGCTGTGATGGTAGAACATTTTGATTTTACCATTGAGCACTATAATACCTTGACTACCTGCACTTAGCTCCAACAGCGAACTTATTAATGCCATGACATTTCAGATTGGCCTCTTACTCAAGTACTCTTAATAACGTACTGTTGATAGAATATCTCTAAGATATATAGTCAAATGCACTGTTTAGTGCTGGGACAAAGAAAACTGTAGATATGAAGTAGGACAAGCACACACCATTGCTCTAACATACTTTTAATTAGGTATATTGAGCCTTTAATCAGTTATATTAAGCCTATTAAACCTAATTCAATGTTATTATTCAAGCTAATACCTTGATGCCGTTCAGCATCTCGTTCACGATTTTCATCCGTTTGTCTTTGTACTTCATGTTCTCGATCTGAAAATAGAGACAGACAGAAATAGGAATGTGAGGTAAGAAGGTTTTGCACTAACTGCTGTTGATGACAGTAAATGTATTAACTCATGCACCCAATAACACCAGAAACAGATAAGTTAATGTAGAATACTGTTGTTGAAGCTTCACCATTTAGATTTAACACAGTGGAGAACAATCCAAGTATGTACAGTGAGGGAAAAAAATATTTGACCCACTGCTGATTTTGTACGTTTGCCCACTGACAAAGACATGATCAGTCCATAATTTTTATGGTAGGTTTATTTGAACAGTGAGAGACAGAATAACAACAACAAAATCCAGAAAAAACGCATGTCAGAAATGTTATAAATTGATTTGCATTTTAATGAGGGAAATAAGTATTTGACCCCTCTGCAAAACATGATTTAGTACTTGGTGGCAAAACCCTTGTTGGCAATCACAGAGGTCAGACGTTTCTTGTAGTTGGCCACCAGGTTTGCACACATCTCAGGAGGGATTTTGTCCCACTCCTCTTTGCAGTCCCTTTGATGCGGTGAAGTTGTCCTGTCCCCTTAGCAGAAAAACACCCCCAAAGCATAATGTTTCCACCTCCATGTTTGACGGTGGGGATGGTGTTCTTGGGGTCATAGGCAGCATTCCTCCTCCTCCAAACACGACGAGTTGAGTTGATGCCAAAGAGCTCGATTTTGGTCTTATCTGACCACAACCCTTTCACCCAGTTCTCCTCTGAATCATTCAGATGTTCGTTGGCAAACTTCAGACGGGCCTGTATATGTGCTTTCTTGAGCAGGGGGACCTCGCAGGCGCTGCAGGATTTCAGTCCTTCATGGCGTAGTGTGTTACCAATTGTTTTCTTGGTAACTATGGTCCCAGCTGCCTTGAGATCATTGACAAGATCCTCCCGTGTAGTTCTGGGCTGATTACTTAACGTTCTCATGATCATTGCAACTCCACGAGGTGAGATCTTGCATGGAGCTCCAGGCCGAGGGAGATTGACAGTTATTTTGTGTTTCTTCCATTTGCGAATAATCGCACCAACTGTTGTCACCTTCTCACCAAGCTGCTTGGCGATGGTCTTGTAGCCCATTCCAGCCTTGTGTAGGTCTACAATCTTGTCCCTGACATCCTTGGAGAGCTCTTTGGTCCTGGCCATGGTGGAGAGTTTGGAATCTGATTGATTGATTGCTTCTGTGGACAGGTGTCTTTTATACAGGTAACAAGCTGAGATTAGGAGCACTCCCTTCAAGAGTGTGCTCCTACTCTCAGCTCGTTACCTGTATAAAAGACGCCTGGGAGCCAGAAATCTTTCTGATTGAGAGGAGGTCAAATACTTATTTCCCTCATTAAAATGCAAATCAATTTATAACATTTTTGACATGCGTTTTTCTCAATTTTTTTGTTGTTATTCTGTCTCTCACTGTTCACATAAACCTACCATTAAAATTATAGACTGATAATTTCTTTGTCAGTGGGCAAACGTACAAAATCAGCAGGGGATCAAATACTTTTTCCCCTCACTGTACAGTATGATAATATTGTAGCAAATTCCAGGGGCTGGCCCGACCAGAACTCAAACTGAGGTCACTGAGTCCAACACATCAGCCTCTCCCTTCCCCTTCCCCATCCTCCCCTCACTCTTGTTATTCCTCCTCCAGACCATTGATGGGCACCATGGATGAGAACCATGACAGCCAGTATTGCAGGTTCTACCTCCCTCTTCCCTACCTTCTCCCTCCCCCTTTTCCCTCCTTCTCTTCCCCCTCTCCCCTTCCTAACCTGAAAGGTCCTGGACTTGGTGGCCAACAGACCGTTGATGGGCACCATGAGGACCATGACAGCCAATCCAGCCAGTACAGCAGGCCCCAGCTCTATCCACAGGAAGACGATAGCGAGTGCTATCTGCAGTGGGCACGACCACAGCAGGTGGATGAAGTTAACAACGTCATTGAATCGCTGAGCGTCGGCCGACATCAGGTTCACCGTCTCCCCGACCGTCGACTCCTTACGGGCATCGTTCGATACAACCAGAGCCTGGGGGAGAGAGGGGAGGAGGGGAGGGGGATGAGGAAAGAGGGGAGAGAGAGGGATGAGGGGAGATGAGGGAGAGAGGGGAGGAGAGGGAGGAGAGAGTGGAAGAGGAGAGAGGAGGGAAGGAGATAGAAATGGAAGAGGATAGAGGATAGAGAGCAGGATGGAGGGGGAGAGTTGAACGAAAGGTTACTAAAGAGAAATAACACTTCTTTGAGCAGATACTGAAAGAGCTCCACGACACGTTGAAGGGCCACCTAACACTAAATCAACAGTTATACCACACACAGGGTCGGCTCCAGGCATAAGCAGTCGCGTAAGGCCCCCTGCCGCTAGTTCTTTTGGGGGAACTCAGTCGGGGTCTCAACTTACTGTTGAGAGATAGAATAGTATAATACACAAGGTGCAAGTAAAAAATGTGGCTGTGCATCAGCTGTTTTTCTCTTGTTTTGTCAGTCACTGACAGTCACTCAATTAGCCATCTAACGATTCATAAGTTAGTCTAGCCAGTTATCTAAACTTGTAGTAATCATGGCCAATACCGACCGGGCACGCAGGGCATATGCCCAGGGCCCCTGACCTCCAGGGAGCCCCCATTGATATTGTTAGTCACTCTCAATCAGATATCAGTAAAATGGCGTAAGTCATGGCAAAATGTATAGAATTGCAGGGAATTAGCTTTAAAATGGCAAAAATGTCTCTCCACCCCATGGCAAAATTGGTAGAATTGCAGGAAATTTGCTTTAAAACTGCAAACATTTCTCTCTGCCCCATGGCAAAATGAGTAGAATTGCATGAAATGTGTTATAAAATTCATAAATGTTCTCTCTGCCCCATGGCAAAATGTGTAGATCTGCAGAAAACTTGCTTTTAAAACCACAAAAATGTATCTCTGCCCCATGGCAAAATGAGTAGAATTGCATGACATTTCATATAACATTGCACCATTTCCTCTCTGCCCAATGGCAAAATGCGCAAAACTGCAGAAAACGTGCATTAAAACTGCAACATTTTCTCTACGCCCCATGGCAAAATGTGTAGAATTGCAGGAAATAAACTTTAAAATGTACATTTTTCTCCCCACCGTCAAGAGGGGCGCCACTAAAACATTGTGCTTAGGGCCCCCAAAAGGCTAGATCACACACACAATCCCACACTCCCTCCCTCCCGCCCTATCCCATAAGCACCCATAAGCACTCATCAACTCATTGATTGTTTTAGAGAGAAAGCCAGTATATTGGAATGCAGATTGTTTTGCTCCTATATGAGATGGTACAAAATAGTTTTATCTCTGTTCTGTATCTATCCAATCTCTGGCCCTTAAATGTACATGGAGAGCTAACATCAATAACATGCATGTCAATCTCTCCTGGCTCAAAGAAGAGAAGATTGACTGCATCACTACTTGTCTTAGTGAGAGGTATTGACATGTTGATAGCACCGAGCTGTCTGTTTAAACGACTAACACACAGCTCAGACACCCATGCATTACCTACAAGACATGCCACCAGAGTTCTCTTCACAGTCCCCAAGTCCAGAACAGACTATGGGAAACTCACAGTACTACATAGAGCCATGACTACATGGAATTCTATTCCACATCAAGTAACTCATGCAAGCAGTAAAATCAGATTTAAAAAAAAGATAAAACTACACCTTATGGAACAGTACAGACTATGGGGAGACACACACACACAGGCACACACACACGCATACGCACTCTACACATGCTAACACGCATGTACATTGTAATATTGTTATATTACTGTATTATGGATTTTGTAGATAAATTATGTTGTGGTAGTGTGTAGTAATGTGATGTCCTGCTTTATTTTGTATGCAATTGCTTTAATCTTATTTGGAACCCAGGAAGAGTAGCTTCTGCCTTGGCAGCAGCTAATGGAGATCCGTAATAAATACAAATACAAAATCTCTGTCAAATCTCCGTCAGTGTTAGATCAAGGAAGTCAGGGGGGTTGAACCCCGGTCCTCAAGGAGCACAAGTGCAAGACAATGACACGTACCTTCTTATACACAGCAGCCATGATGGCTGTTCTGACTTTCATCCCCAGAACAAAGCAGCGTTGGAAGTACTGCTGCAGGAACAGAGACTGAAAGAGGGCCACCAGGATAAGCAGCACTGCGTACACGTATCCTGTCCACGTGTAGATGGATTTGTCCGTAGTGAAGGATATCATCAACCTGGGATATACCAAAACCACAAGTTAAACCATTACATTTTGGGCGAAAACACTATGCATACTGGTATATGCACAATACATACCATTCTTTTAACTACAAAATTACAACAAAGTTTTGAACTTGCAATGTAGTATTTGGGCAGTTAAGAACAGTTAAGGTAAATACATTTGAATTCAGTCACTTTTTGACAGCATCCCTATTGATTTAGACACAACTTTCTATACATGTTTGTCCATGGAAGAAGTAGTCAGAAAGTGACTTTTTCAACCTGAATGCCGACATTCAGGAGATATAGGTGCTACATGTTGACCCATTTTACATACTCCACCATACCATGAGACATCCATGTCTTCATCACCGGAAAAGGTAAACAGTTGAGTTTGATATCAGTTAAAAGCTTACAAACAGGGTTGTCAAACTCAATTTTTTTATTTTCTTGACATTCTTTATTTTTTAACTGAAATACCCAGTTCAAAGGCACTTAAATATGTTGTCTTGCCCTTACAACCTCTGAGTGGCACATACAGTATACACAATCCATGTCTCAATTGTCTCAAGGCTTAAAAATCCTTCTTTAACCTGTCTCCTCCCCATCTACACTGATTGAAGTGGTTTTAACAAGTGACATCAATAAGGAATCATAGATTTCACCTCGATTCACCTGGTAAGTCTGTGTCATGGAAAGAGCAGGTGTTCTTAATGTTTTGTACACTGAATGTATAACCCCACCCACATCGAAATATACAACAACAAAAAACTGTCAGTTTTCACGTTGTCTAATTAAAAAAGAATTAACCACACATACACAGACACTTTAGAAATTCCAAACATTATCAACCTACTTTAGTATTTGATCCTAATTTGATCCTAATTCTGAGAGCAAGAATACATCTTACTTCATAAAAAATGTTTGATTACCATCTTGTGGACAGGAAAAGGCGCAATGCTAGCTCACCACAAAAAAATTGTAGTTTTATTAGTCAAGTTTAAAAGATGACCTTTTAACTTGACTAATAAAACTACACATTGTTTATGGTGAGCGAGCATTGCACTTTTTCCTGTCCAATGACGTCTACACATTTTTAGATTACACCTCTACTCACATTGGTTGATTACCATCTCATACTATTTACTATTTTTCATAGCAAAAGTTGGTCTATTGATGGTTAGCTGCTTTTGTAACATGTATTTTTATTTAAGTTGTGATGGTGTTAGTTCGTTTTGCTAAATAAGTCTTCTCATTATATAACAAATTCAAGTGTTTAGATTAAGTTATTTAATTTTGTGACTGGTATTTTAAGTTTTCATAGTGTAAAGGTTGAAAAACACCACAATTTTTGCCCGGTCTACTTCTCACATTTAACGATTCAGTCAAGTCCAATCGTAGTGAACTAATCGGTATAGGACATACATCTGGAGGCACCTCCGCAGTACGATTGGTCAATCGGGCCAGAATCCGGCTATATAGGTTTGCGCAAGTGTAGCGGGTTTCATGGCCGGAGGGAGCTGTCCATTGATTTAGTGCTGAAATGAAGAAAACCCGCCCGGAGTTCAGGTTTACCGTTTATTTGTTAAATAATTTAAATTGGTCGTTATTAGGCCACGTATGGGTGAGATTGGAACAGGAGATTGGAACAGGGAAATAAAGGGTTTATCATAGTGGTATTTAAATTAGTCTGAATTTTACTGCACCTTCACCTATCAGCCTGATTAAACCTATCCGTTATAACCATATCTAGGCTTTATTTGACACGGCCACAGGGAATACATGTGGCCCTATTCAATGTTGTGTAGTCCCTACATGTCTGAATTCTGGCTGCTCTGAGCACTGCTCACACTTGGCGATAATGGCTGATTTGAGACCGAATATATTCAACAGGTTTGAAAATGATCGGGACTCTCTGTAAGTGCCCGGGAACCTGTGAGAGCCATCAACTGCAAATCGGGTATGTGCTTACACTTTACAGGCTGCGGCATTACGTTTTACTCCGGGTTTGCTTCGATTTTCTCTGATTTGGAATAATGCGCCGGGAGCTAAAAACGTGTAGTGTTCACCTGGCTTAAGTGCAAGATAAATGTGTTATTTTGGCAAACACACTTGCTGTTTAGTGAGCGTTAACTGTTTTGCAAAAAGGATCCCTTTTTCGATGAAAGTATTCAAGAAATCAAGAAAAATAAAAAAATCTGTAACTTTACAAACATCCTGTACTGGCCTAGTTTAGGCAAGGTATTTGTATTCATTATGGATCCCCATTACTCTTCCTGGGGTCCAGCAAAAATTAAGGCAGTGAAATACATTATAATACCATTTTTAAACATTAAAATACATTTTACAACAGATTTCATAATACATGAAGTGTGTGCCCTCTGGCCACTACTCTACTACAACACACAATCCAGGTATGTGTGTGTTTGTACCTGTGTGTGTGACTCTTCACAGTCCTCGCTGTTTCATAAAGTGTATTTTAATCCGGTTTTCAAATCTGATTTTACTGCTTGCGTGAGTTACTTGATGTGGAATAGAGTTCCATGTAGCCATGGCTCTATGTTGTACTGTGCACCTCCCATAGTCTATTCTGGAATTGGGGACCGTGAAGAGACCTCTGGTGGCATGTAAAAATATGTACCTTCACAGAGGATCCTAAGGATCCTGGGACTAAACACCTCCCTCTGCAACTGGATCCTGGACTTCCTGATGGGCCGCCCCAAGGTGGTAAGGGTAGGTAACAACACATCTGCCACACTGATCCTCAACACGGGGGCCCCTCAGGGGTGCGTGCTCAGTCCCCTCCTGTACTCTCTGTTCACCCATGACTGCATGGCCAGGCACGACTCCAACACCATCATTAAGTTTGCCGACGACACAACAGTGGTAGGCCTGATCACTGACAACGATGAGACAGCCTATAGGGAGGAGGTCAGAGACCTGGCCGTGTGGTGCCAGGACAACAACCTCTCCCTCAACGTGACCAAGACAAAGGAGATGATTGTGGACTACAGGAAAAAAAAGAGGACTGAGCACGCCCCCATTCTCATCGACGGGGCTGTAGTGGAACAGGTTGAGAGCTTCAAGTTCCTTGGTGTCCACATCACCAACGAACTATCATGGTCCAAACACACCAAGACAGTCGTGAAGAGGACACGACAAAGCCTATTCCCCCTCAGGAGACTGAAAAGATTTGGCATGGGTCCTCAGATCCTCAAAGAATTCTACAGCTGCACCATCGAGAGCATCCTGACTGGTTGCATCACCGCCTGGTATGGCAACTGCTTGGCCTCCGACCGCAAGGCACTACAGAGGGTAGTGCGTACGGCCCAGTACATCACTGGGGCCAAGCTTCCTGCCATCCAGGACCTCTATACCAGGCGGTGTCAGAGGAAGGCCCTCAAAATTGTCAAAGACTCCAGCCACCCTAGTCATAGACTGTTCTCTCTGCTACCGCACGGCAAGCGGTACCGGAGTGCAAAGTCTAGGTCCAAAAGACTTCTCAACAGCTTCTACCCCCAAGCCATAAGACTCCTGAACAGCTAATCATGGCTACCTGGACTATTTGCACTTCCCCCCCACCCCATCCTTTTTATGCTGCTGCTACTCTGTTAATTATTTATGCATAGTCACTTTAACTCTACCCACATGTACATATTACCTCAACTACCTCAACTAGCCGGTGCCCCCGCACATTGACTCTGCACCGGTACCCCCCTGTATATATAGCCTCCCTACTGTCACTTTATTTTACTTCTGCTCTTTTTTCTCTCAACACTTTTTTTGTTGTTGTTTTATTTTTACTTTTTTTGTAAAAAATAAATGCACTGTTGGTTAAGGGCTGTAAGTAAGCATTTCACTGTGATGTCTGCACCTGTTGTATTCGGCGCATGTGACCAATAAAATTTGATTTGATTTGATTTGATTTGATTTGACATACTGTACTGGCCTAGTTTAGGCAAGGTTCGCACAAACAAGGTCTGTTATCTGTCGTCAGGATAGTAAGCCAGTTTAAAAAAGGAAGGCACATAAAACTTGTGGATAACCATTGAGCAATTATGTCATATTTATGAGACAAATCATTGATTAAGGTGTGTAAGATTAAGTAATAAACAAAGCTTTATTTTCCCCTTAAGGTCACCTTTATTTTCCCCTTAAGGTCACCTTTATTTTCCCCTTAAGGTCACCTTTATTTCCCCCTTAAGGTCACCTTTATTTTCCCCTTAAGGTCACCTTTATTTTCCCCTTAAGGTCACCTTTATTTTCCCCTTAAGGTCACCTTTATTTTCCCCTTAAGGGTTGAGGTCAAGATTTTGGAATGGGTTCATTTATGCTAGATTTGTGGACAACTTCTACCCAGAGCAGGATTGCACTATAAACCACTTAAAGGTGCACTATGCAGAAATCGCTCCGCCATTTCCTGGTTTCTAAAGTTCGAATAGTTCACCTAATTTCAGTTAGGTGTAAAATATATTTTCCATAACCCAAAATATTGTATTTTCAGCTGTTTGAAGCTGATGTACAAAACCGAGAGTAAAAGACCCAAAAACTAAACTTAAGAACAGGAAGCATAGAAATAGTGCACAGGTCTATAGCTGCTTAGATTTGCTTTCAATGAGAATTTGCTTTCACATTTCTATGTGAATTTGGTCGGGTCGCCCAAAAAGCTTCATATGGCAGCTTAGATGTAAGGTCCCCTTTTTAGGGGACTTGCGTGTTTCTGGTACCGGTTCTGACCAACATTTTCACGTATAAATCGATCTGTGGATACCATAGATCGAAATGGCTTGCTTTGAGCGATAGCCCTGGTTCGCACGGACACAGTATAATTTTTTCTGTGCCTGTGTGACATAGAATGTAAAATCTAAAACCACTTGAAGCTGGGATGTACCTCCTACCATTTCATTTGCTTTCCAACTGTCCATCAACTCCTGGCTAAACCCTACATCACAGCCACTGACAAAGCACATGCCTGCTATCGTTACATCGTAGCGCAGCAGGAGCGAGTGGTTTC